ATGTTATACTGCTTTGTGTCTCTCTGTCGGACGCCTGTCTGTCTGCGGTTACTCTTTTTGGCACAATACCAGAAGAACTGACTCGCCTGCTGGCACATTGTCCTACATTGTCTCTTCTGACACACCAAGAGACGTCAACACTTTCTAGGTGCAGCCCTGGGTTTGGCTTGGGTAGGTTCAGACATTTCGTTTGGCTCCTCACTGTCCTTGTGTCTCTATGAACAGAGAGAATCATATATATGGACGTACGGTGAATAAATAAACAAATGAACAGCAACAAATTTGGATGTGAGTCATTTGAAAATTTGAAAATATTTCAATGGATCTGAACAGTGTTCCTGTGACGGTCAGTTCTCCTTCTTAAGAAAAGCAGGCTAAATACCTGGGCAGCTGAAGTTTTTTAACTTTTTAAAAGTTTTTTGGAGTCTCTTTTTTTGTAAAAAAGAGACTCCATATGTAGATAGTTCTTAATCTATCAATTGTCTTGTTGTGTTGTGTTGACATACTTTTCTTTACAACAAACTACTAACACATTTATTCATTGTCATTGATTGTATATGACTTTTACTGATAACATAATGCAATATAGCCAGGACAGCCTTACAGAGTCACGATGCTTTGTGTTGCGTTGCTTCGCATCGCGTTGCATCGCATCGCGTCGAGGTCTGTATGATCACAAAATTCAGAGTTTACCCACCTCTAATTTTACCACTACAGCACTGTATTATACTGAGAGGTGCTTCTAATATTTATTCCATATTGGATGGAAGAAACACATAAAAACCTACTCAGACATACACAAATTTCAGTTTCAGACATACACAAATTTCAAATTTCTGTAACTGTCAGTAATTCAGCTTCCTGAACTGGGTTTGTTACTTTGCCACTCTAACCTGTTTTTTCTGAGTTTCCCCAAACACATCCTGACTAATTATTCAACCATCGACACCTGCTGCTGCCTGCACACCCGGTCCTGATTACCATCCCCTTCACCATTTAAGCCGTGACCAGACAACCAGTCCCTGCCGGATCGTTAGCGTACCACGTACGGTTTTTGCTCCAAACTCGAGTCAAGTCTAGTCAAGAGTCAGTGTGTTTGTTTGCTTCTGTTTTTTTCCGGATCACTAACCAGCAACCTGTTTCCCTGCCTACAGCTCATCACTTGGATCGCCCTTTTCCCCTGCCTAGCCGTTGACCCGACTCCAGCCCCCACTCATCACCACCCAACCGGACCAGACCTTCCCCACACCTTTTTGTTTGCATAATAAATACCCACCTTTTATTTTGATTCTTCCGTGTGGTCTGCTTTTGGGTTCCCGTCCTGGACGATTCGTGACAGTAACAACAATAAAACTGTTAATAATGAAATGGTTTAGACTAAATTCCACATGCACAGCGACCGTTTGTCTTCTTGGTACACAAACTTCAAAAGATTTATAAGTGCTACAGTCCTGCAGTTAAATGTAGTAACATCGCAATGAAGTAAAATTAGTGTTTAAGCTCTATATATATTTTCAATGCATTATATTTTATTAGTACAATTTAGTCCCTTTCAAAGATAGTGACCATGTTCATATCGTGAGTAAGATGACGTGAGCGCACTCCTCTCCAGTCTTTAAACGCTCTTGTTCCTCCATTGAAAGAAAATAATAAAATATTGTTTTAATGTTAGCTACTATGCACAATGATAGACACTATGACAAGCCTGCACCATCTGGATGAAGATAAGCTAATAATGACGTCAATATTATTCCTCTTAAGTCGTAATTTTGATTAATTTCCTCCACATCGCCAAAGTCAAAGGTCACATTTACCCTCCCAGGTGGTTCTTAATTGTGATTCTACAGTATAAAGCAGTATCATGCTACCCCTCTGGTTCAAAGTTAACAAAATAAAATCTAGCTCTATTATAAGTCTTATACTATACTACTACTATACTTATAGAGCACTATGAGTGTCTTTAAACTAGCTAACCGTAACATCCTTTTCTCCTGTTACCCTTCATATGTGAGATTTCTGCACAGAGCAGTCTATCGCTCGTGCTCCTCCACACCTCAGGGTGCTTTTTTAGCTTTTGCCGCAAAGCAGAGAGCTCGTTTTCATGATCTGAAGCCAGAGCACAGGACCCCGCGGGGTGTCTCTGTCCCTCGTCAATGAGACCTCGGGCTGAGTTCCACCAAAAGAGAGAAGTGACCCGTACGCGGGAGTCTCGTGGGGTTTCTCTGGGCTTTATGTCTTTACCTTAATGTTTGTTTTGAAATGTAAAGTATCAATAAACTTTATAATTATCAATCAAAAAAGAAAAGCTTTATATTAAACCTCTGTTGCCCAACATGAGTGTGTGGAAGTCGTTGGTTTGTTTATTTATTTTTCAGAGACTTTATTGCCCTGTGCATCACCACTGCTGCTTCTCATCGCGGACACATTTGTCCTGTATTTTTATTATTTATTATAAATAATAATTTATTTTGAGTCATTTCTGTCGGATGAATTTAACGTATTATACATATTTTACGTTGTTCATCTGTAGGTCCATAGCAGTCTGTCCGTCCCAGGGAGGATCGTCCGGTGTCTCTCTAAAGCAGGGGTCTCAAACTCAAATCAGCTGCGGGCCAGATGCAGCCCACTTCAACCGAACGCGGGCCAGACTAGCGTCCGAACGGCATGGTCGACGGGGGGTGGGGTACGCCAAAGTCGGTACCCCACCCCCGCAGCGGTCTGCCACACCGGAGTTTGAGACCCCTGTAATAAAGAGTGGAAGCTTTATTAAAACACTGATGTGTTATACTATGGTAATAAATGCTTGTATAAACACAACTCACCTGTATCCTTTGCTGAAGCTGCTCAGTGGAGGGGGGGGTGTCCTCCTGCCCCACGGCCCTCTCCTCCCCCTCAGGTTCCTGGTTCAGGGGTTGGTAGTAATATCCTCCATCGTTCTCCTCTTCCTCTCCATCCAGCTCCATCTCGGACCCCACCTCCCCCTCCTCCTCCTCCTCCCCCCCCCCACTCCACGCAGGCAGCATAGCTCCATCGGCTGGGCGCTTGCTCCCCCCCAGCTTATCCTCAGAGTTTGGTAAGACTCGCTCCGGTCCCATCGCTGAGCTCAACACTTCCATCCACAGACACACTGAGAGACAGACAGTTTGTCAACAACAATAACACAACTTAACACTCACTTTCAAAAGCAGTCATTGAACCCCACCCTGGGGGATCGGTCCGAATGAGACCACAACACTAGTCCTCCTTTAACTCAGCGGGGGAGACCTAAGGTCATGTGACCGTGGAATTCCTTTATAGCCAAACGTGAAGTTACGTGAATCAAAGCTGCGTATTAATGGACGGAGACGCTCGTCGGTGACGTCAGATGCTTCATGTGTTGTTAGTGTGAGTCGTAAAGGACTAAACGAGCGATGCTAACGGTTAGTCACATGATCACCTGCGCGAAAGAGGGCAGGAAACTGAATTTCACCCTCCTGCTCTCTGCACCTCGGCCGACACACACGACCCGCCCCCCATGTCAGTCACATGCATGCCACGTTCACTGGACAAGCACACAGTAGGAAACCAGAACATCATAACATGTCCCACACAGCAGCTGACAGTGGGGTTACAGTATAAAACTTGCGGGCCGCACTAACATTACACTTTCATATTAAGGATGGGGCCACAAAATATCGTCCCGAGGGCCGCAATTGGCCCGCGGGCCGCGAGTTTGAGACCCCTGCTCTAAAGGTTTCTTCCCTTTATTCTCCCCATCAAATACTTTTTCATTGTTTGGGGAGTTTTTCCTGTGCCGATGTGAGGGTTTCTGGACAGAGGATGTCACATGTGTACAGACTGTAAAAACCTGTAAAGATCATATAATCATGGCAAAAACTGACACCGCCCGCCTGCGAGGCTACAAGCCCGACAAAGTATTCCACACAAGGTAACGTTAAATGCGTGCTGGTAAAATGCATCGGCTTATTAACGTGCCTCGTCACTCTAATCAATCAGATTACTTTAAATGTGCCTGCTTGCAGGAGGCTTCATGGATGATCATCATCCAATGAGAATAACAATCTCAACTCATGTAGAACATGTAGATGAAAACAAGCCCAAAGATTCAAATTGATACGAGTGAATAGGATATATGTACTGTATCAGTTTATATATCATATGTATGTGTAGATGACCATATAGAACTAGCAGTTTTATTATGTGTGTGTGTGAATGTGTATGTGAGAATCATTATATATTCATTGTTCATAATTAGACATTTGATCAACTGAAGCGGTGAAATGTGGAACATCCAGAAGTTTATTAAACGAGAAAAAAAACAACAGAACTTTCCGAAGAGCACGACATGCAGCGGCTTTCCAGATGTTCTCTGCATCGCAACATCGTACGGACAACACAGTATGAGAGACAGTGTGTCAGACCGTGTGTGAGACATGAGAGAGTGTGTGAGACAGTATGAGAGACAGTGTGTGAGAGAGTATGAGAGACAGTGTGTGAGAGACAGTGTGTCAGACAGTGTGTGAGACATGAGAGAGTGTGTGAGACAGTATGAGAGACTGTGGGAGACAGTCCGTGGGACAGTATGTGAGACAGTCTGCGGGACAGTGGATGTTCGGCTGCAGCGTGTGGTGTTCATCACGTAACGTTTCGGCTCGGGGAAATCTTGTGAATTAATGATTCCTTGTCCTGAGCATCTGTAGCGCTCGTACAGGACGTCATTGCGGCTAAACGGGTCTTTGTGATCTTGGAGAAGTCTCTCCGTATTACACGTTAATCTAACTGATATCGCTCCTTCATCAATGAGGAAGTGAGCTGCCCTTTTTTCCGGGGGAATGATCAACTAATCCAGCACCTTTATGAACCTGCTTTTCGATGTGTTGCTATGGTGATTTTCATATGGCAATCTATAGCGCATGTCTCTAAAAACTGCCAACAAACCTTGCAACAGGTAGAGCGGGGAGGAGCCTGCATGCCACAGAACAGTTAGAGCACATCTCAGTCAACAAGCGGGCTGGACGTTAGTTTAAGGGGAGTAAGCAGCTTGTCGCTGTAGGTAGTATAATTCTCTCCATTATCTCTGTATTGTGAACCAGTGTGTTATTGAGAATGTTGAGTAGAAGATGTCTTGTTGTAATTGGTTGTCGATGATGTTGATTGTGGTGGAAATCAGTGGATTTTTTCTTCCTCCTCCCTCAGTGTGATCATTGACGGTCATTGTTTGACAGACAGGTATAAAGAAAATAAAACGCTGTGCCCTTTTGAATCCATTTCGCTCCATAAAGTATGTCACTAACTTAACGAATGACTCTGCGTGGGCGTGAGACTGACTCCACCCCAACACTGATCATTGCATGTTGAAAAGTAGGCTGCGTGCTCAGAAATGAATATGATTACAGTTCCTCGATTGGCTCAGGTTCCTCTTTGTGTAAACTCTTGTTGGTTTGTGGGTAGTGTCACACAGGACACTCGTTGTGTGAGACAGCGACAAGACAAACCGCCTGACAGGAAATGGTGAGCACCTATCTCTACCCTTTATTTTGTGCTTAATTGAAAACTTCTATGAAAATTTATCTAAGTTGCTTTGTGAAATGTGAGGATAACTTCTTTCATATTGGAATTTAGTACTTATGTCTACACGTTCTATGCATTTTATAATCTTAGATAAGATAAGAAGATAGACATAGAGATGTTGACAATGAGTCCTGACGTGTGCTTAAATAAATCAAACATTGAACCTTAGAAATTGTTTTTATCAAGAAACGTTTGTATGCACGTCCAGTCATGTCACAAATGTTATATTCATAGAAAGCGTGTGTGCCGGGACAGTCCTTGTCTGTTATGTGAATGTATCCTCAGTTCAATTCATCTTTTTTTTGGAATAGATTTATTGCATGTGAACTGCTTTAATCAAGAGCAAACTTATCACAGTAACTAGCACACTGAGCCGTGTCTCAGATTAAGTTTTCAAGCTGAACATGGACTTCTGCTAATAGATTTCTGTTTCCAAATGTGGGTCTTTATACTTCAACAGATTTCCACATTTGATATATGGATCAATGAACTCTGAATTTGACAATTATATGTTTCAGATTCAATGAATGAAAAGAACATATACTACAATACTTCCCCTTTGGCCATTTCAAGGTAAATATTATGACAATAGTAGCAGGTGGCTTAAAAGTTTAAAAAGGGATATTTTAATTTTCTCTTAAATGTGTTTCTTCAATGTGTTTGATAGGACAATTCAGGTCCATTGTTGACGTAGTATCCCGATAAAATTTAGGAAAGATTTGATTTGATTTTACTGAGGACCAGTTGCTTCAATATATCAAAGTCCAGGAATTACAAGCGTAAAACTTAAAAGTGTGGGTCTTTTTCTTCAGATGACTTTGTTAAATAACAAAGCAGTGCTTCGGATGGCGGCTGTAGTGATTTTAATAATCCTGCTGACATTCTATGGTACGAAATTGCTTTTTGGTCCCGGAGAGCAGAGTGAAAGGGCTCCCACTCGCCAGCTGAGGTAAAGCCCACTCTGTGTCCATGTGTGTCTGCATAAAACCCTTTCCGCATCTACCTTTAACAACTGGGTGATCTCTCACTGTTGAAAACGGAAGATCCTTTCTCACGGTTTGGGTTTGTTTCCTGTTTTATTGTGTAGTTTTCTGCCTCTTGTGTCCCTGGGTTACCTCACTTCCTGCCTTGTCCTGTCATCCCCTGTGATTGTCTGCCTTGTCCCCGATTGTTTCCCCCTTGTCCGATCAACCTGCACCTGCTTTTTTTGACTTCATAGATGACAAATCTGCTGAGAAACAAACCTCCAGTTTGCAATTGCTGTCTTGTTGAAAGCACCTACCCATGAGATCAAGTTGAGGGTATTGATGCCCCCGTGCAGATGAAGCCATACAAAATAGCTTTGACAGGCACTTCAATAGGGTCAACACAGCAATGCTTCATTACTACGACATTATTCATTGGTTAGTGCCCGTGCTGATAATGTGGATAATTGTTGTAGATTGTATCTCAAATAGAAAGCAGTTTCCTCTCTCAATAATATCTTGAGTAGTAGAATCATTGACACCAGTGGAAACATGTCTACTCTCTCTGGTCACAAGCAGAATTTCCAACAAATTCTTAAGGGGCAATCTGACAAAGCAGAGATCAGAGTTGTGTTTCCTTGTCGACTTCTAATAGTATCCCTATCAATCCAGGTCACCGCTCCCAGTTCACGTATCCCCACCTGGTCCATGCACCTGCCCCTCTGGCTCAACGCTACTAAAAGAACACGTGCCAAAGGATCAGTATGACGAGCTGGTGGAACGCCGCGCTAAGGAGCTCCATCAACACAAAGCCAGGTAATGGGGATGGATGGATTGATGCTTTCTTGGAGACGTCACTGAAAGTGGAGATACTGGACAAATCAAGCCAATATATTACAAAACCGCTGGCTTTTTAAGCACAAAATGTACTCTGTTTTTAGCACTATCTAGGAAAAACAGAGAAGGGGTTATCTCTGAAAAACTAATTTGGATGATAACAAATAGATTTGAGAAATCGTAGCCACATATAAATTACATAGACTTTTGCTTGTTGATTTAAGAAGGGCTTGAATATTTGTGAACTTATTCTTGAAGTGTAGATACATATGTATTATTTATCAAATCTCTCTCATTATAAATAGAAACTAAGAGCTGGGTTCTCAGCCATCAGTTTTAATTTTGACATAAGACACCCAAGACAACTGTGACTCCGCGGGTTGTCTGACCAGTCTGTCCTGTTTGTGTTTTTGTTTTTCTTTCCACACTACATTCTGTAGTCACATTGGTGGAACTTGTTTTCGCAATGTAACGTCAGCCTCTTTCCTTTTCCACAGGACTACATCTGTATTATCCAGACTGCTGTTTGCTTTACCTAACTCTCCTCTGCAGTATCCTATCCAGGGGTTTAAAGTACTGCCTTTGACCAAAACTCTAATACCAGGTATGCTACAATCAATATATAGTTCAGAGCATCTTTATCGCAAGTTGGAAGAATTCTAAAACTCCAAAGACACAGTCTAGTTTCTGATACATGTGGTAACTGTGAGCAGTAATGAGCAATAAACAGCTCCAACAACTCAGACCAAACAATATGTTTTTTTGAGTTTTTCATGTGAAACTCAAGGAGCCCAGAGATAGATGTGTGTCCTTCTGCAAAACTATAAAAGCATGAGATGATTTTGATTTCAGGTTTGGCAGTGCATTCAGGAGAAAGAAGCATCTACAAGGTTAGTGTGTTACCGCAGATACAAACGGAGGGGAGCAGGTCACACATTTATATCTCTAATCAGAAATGGGCAAAACTGCTATATTCCATAATTAAAAAACACAATTATTGACAATTTGTAGAATTCATTATATATATTTTTTTGTGTGGCTTAAGGAGGCTTAAGGAGAGGCCAAGCCCCATGGCACCCTATTGGGACTGCTGGCCGCTACGTTAGCGGTGTTGGAAAAGTCATGTTTGGTCTTCGTCAATATTACAGAGAGTCTGTTCTCTCTCTCTCTCAAGCGAGATACGTTATGTTCCAGGCCAACTGACAGTCAGGGTGTTTGTGTGTCAAGATGAAAGCCGCATCCAAGGTTGATTACCAGCACTTGGTGTTGTCCTAGAGCCCTCCTTCTCCCTTTTAATACATTTATCTAATAGCTACATATTCAAGTGCCAGGGAAGAAGACCAAAGTAGTTCTCATCCACAACTTGTACGTGACGTAACGTTGCTCTTACTTGCAAGTATTTTGTAAATGTCCTTTAATGTTTTTACACTAGTGTCGAGAAATACTTTTTCTAACAGATGCTACAGTTGTTGCAACTGTACCTGTGATTAGGCACCAAATCAAGCCCCTAGAACCAAATATTTTGATAAAACAATATACAAAGTATGTACTCCAAAATAAAGTAAATGGAAGTTGCCATCTGGATCACAACCAAAATCTTTAAACGTGAGAAATATTTTTTGGTAAATATGTTTCATCATCTTCAATCTGATCTATACAATCTTTGATCACAGAAATTAGCTTTTATAGCATAGGCCACATTTATTTAAATACATTGTGGATGATGTACAAAATGAATTTGCAATACAAAACTGTCAAATTATATTTTGCAGTTGCAGATAAAAAAGATTGACGTTCACGTGTGTCTACTCTAGGTGTCCTTGACTGTGTCTATAGGGCTCCTGACCACAGAGTTCCCAGCTGACAGAGTGAAGGTGCAAGGTGAGAATGTCAGAACGAGCTGTATATAATTGGTGACATTTGAATATCCACCTTACCATATATTTGCATTGCTTTGCATTTGTGAAATATTAAAAGTAACTACCAATGACAAGTGTGTTCAGAATCGGGAGATGCACTGCAAAATTATTTTTAAAGAAGGCCAAATGTGGGCAAATGATCTTGTTACACTTATAACCAATAAAATACAATGAATACCAGAGGTTGTTTCCATTTAACAGTTTATACATCAAAACAACGTATTTTGCCAGGAAAGCTGTTGTTTGACTATTGTGACGTTCTTTTAATTGTCAGGTCATGGCGAGAGCAGACTTGTCATGGAGTCTTTCAGCCTGGTGATGCTCAACGACCTGTTGTCTAAAGTGTCCTACACCAGCACTGTTTACCACGTACACACCGGAGACCTCGGTATTTCTCACAAACATTCAAACAAAGTTTAAGCCTTTATGTACAAAATTAGAAAGGAAATACTCAAAATGAACTGCATAAGTGCTAATAGAGCGAATGTTATCAAAAAGAACAATTGCAGTTTTCAATGCTTTGCACAGCTATCTTTGTGTATGAATGTTTAAACTAGTGAGGAAAATGTTTGGGCAGTTTGTTTTGTTATTATATTCACTGTCAGCTTATGTGAGCCCACTGTTTCCTACCGCAAATTTTATGACTTTTCTGTACTCAGCATTCTTCCAGTTTGAGGACCATGAAGCCGTGTTTCCGATTACCATCAAACAGACCAACCTCCCAGTCCTGTACGACATGGGAACAGGTGGGTGTGCACTCTTCGTGGGGGTCTGGAGTCCAATCATCTGTAGGCAATCGATGGATAACTGAGTAGAAATGTACACACCTTTACTTGTATACAGTACTATTGGTAGAAATAGGATACTGCAAGTGAACACTAGCATGTTTAAAAATATAGTAATATTAGTTGTTTTCAAAACACACGTTTTTGTGAGATCAAGAGGGAAGATGAGTGAAACTTTGATAAGGTGCACGGATGTGCAATGCACCCCCTCGGATTCCTGTGACAAAGTAAATTGTCTCGTTTTCAAAGCCTTCTACAACTTCTCTCAATCACACCGAAAAACCTGCAGCAAAAAATTGACCAGAAGGTTCATCTGTGCTGACGACCCGTGCTACATGCTGTTTTACCGTGTTCTCTTTCCTCTCCTCTGTCTGACAGACATCAGCTCTCAGGTTACCATCACCACCAAGACGTTCCTGCGCTACGCACAACTCAAGATATTGTTGAGCAGCATCCGGCATTTCTATAGCAACATAAAAGTCATCATCGCCGATGACAGCTTTGAACCAGAGCACATTACTGGGGAAAACACTGAACAGTACATCATGCCGCCAGCACAAGTAAACAAACGCACCCACAAAAAACACATTTATTTCCTCTCAGGACATGAAGAGCGCTTATTGTGTGTCCATTCGGGTATATTTGCATCTACCTTTGACCCGTATAAAACACAACCACAACGTTGCATGTACAACAGATGCATGCTGAGTCTTTTGAAGATAGTTGTGGGCAATTTTCCCACACTAATTGCCATGTTTACTCTCCCAACGGGTGGGGCTCTTACGCTCTTAATCCGGGTTGGTTACAGCCCTTTGTCCTGTTTCAATTTCTGTTTTTTATCACGCCCTTTTGTCCTCTAACTGCTATAGAACTTTATAGAACATGATGCACAGGAGACGCCTGCGTGCAAAGATTTCATAACTGGCCTCACGCGACATGTTGGACTGGAATTTTGTTGAAACATGTTTGCTTCCTTCAGGGCTGGTTTGCTGGCAGGAATCTGGCTGTCTCCCAGGTAACCACAAAGTACCTCCTGTGGGTGGATGATGACTTTGTTTTTACGGAAGAGACGAAGATAGAGAAGCTGGTGGAGGTGATGGAGGCCCTTCCCGAACTGGATGTGGTGAGAATAAAATGGCTCATGTCTGAGGGTGTCCGGAAACCTGCATTGAAACTTCTAGAATACACTAAAACAAATGCTCTCACAAAATATATTTCTGACAGTTTTACTTTTGTGTGAATTTTGTCAGTTTGAGTATATTTTTCCTGGATACGTTTTCTTCAAGGTGAAGAATTGAGTATTTAAAATACAATTTTGGACTGTTTTAATGGAATAACATGTCCTAACATCACTGTTTCGATACAGAGAAGTATACGCATATTTTGCATGGCAATATTGAATCAACATACGGTACACAGAAGTCACCTTTGATTATATAAATTAGAAACTTTTTGGCACAGGAAGAATAAAATAAATTGCTTTTTCAGTCCAAAGATGATGCCGGGATATTTTCTAGTGAGGTCAGCAGAGGTCCCGGGTCAGCGTCAATGCGATAAAAATGATTTAACTGAGATGATCAGACTAAAAACTAAAATAAAAACATGTTGAGTAAGTTTTCCTTTGGCTACATAAATGCTGGTGAAAAAGGTAATGAATCTCACTATACTTTATCGCAATAGATATGATTTAAGTATTGGGATGATATTTCACCATGGCTGTTTATCCCCCTCTACACCGACTCATTATCAACTGATGCCGATCCCATCATGTAGCGGACTGGAGGCAGGTCCACAATGTACAGGTAAACTGTCCATGACCAGTTTTCCATCTCTCTGTTCTCATCAGCTGGGGGGAACAGTACAACGGAACCAGTTTTATTTCTCTCTCATCTATGAGGAAGGAGATGAAATGGAGGGCGGCTGCCTTCACAGAAAGTCGCAAGGAAAGTTCAACCCACTTCCTGGTTACCCAGGATGCTTTATGGCCAGTGGTGTGGTAAACTTCTTCCTGGCGAGAACGCACTCTATACAGAGTGTTGGATTTGACCCCAAGCTCAAAAGAGTGGCGCACTCTGGTAGGTCTACAGTTTGTATTCCAAGTGGCGGTGTGTCCACACTCTTTCCACCTGGAGCCTAAAAGTGTAAATGTTTGTCTCTGACTCCAGAGTTCTTCATGGACGGCCTGGGCTCCCTACTGGTTGCCACGTGCAACCATGTGTCGGTCGGCCATCAGCCCAAAACAGGCAAAGACAAAGACCCACGCTCGCTACGCCAAATCAGACGACCTGGAAATGAGGACAGCAAGTTCAAACTACAGCTTCACTTCTTCAAAAACTACCTAAAGTGTGTCAAGTATGGATAAATGACTAATTGACCACATTGCAGTCACTGGATGGGTATACTTCTTTACCTTCTTGATTTTTTTTGCTTCTACATTGGGTATTGAATAGTATGTAGGGTACTTCTTTAAATTTAGTACAGATGTCCAGTTCAAATTAAGAAAAACCTTTCATTTAATGTTGGTTGTCAAAGGTCCAATGCAGCGTGACCTCACATCAGTCGCATTCTCATAACCTGGACCTAACGTTACTAACATTTGGATCCCTGATAGGGCCATATTTCACAGCAATTCATCCAATAAATAGATTTTATATTTCTCTTTCTCGTTTTTTTGGGGGGGGGGGGTTGGGGGGGTTAGATTCAACGTTATTGTCATTGCCCGGAGTACAGGTAATGAGACAATGAAATTGGCAGTTTACCATTCAACCAGAAGTGCAAGAGAGCAGATAAAGTGCAGAGTATATATACATAAATGTACAGTGTGAAATATACATGGAGCAGTATACACATTATGCAGCAGGGTTGTAAATATGAATGACCTGGTAGTGCAAATATGGCATAATTGAAGCACAGAATGTTCAGTGGCTGAAAGCTCATGTGTCATTGGAGAGGTGTAGGGGGGGCTGGGGTCCGTGGTGCATAGTTCAGCAGGGTGTCAGCGGCAGGAAAAAAGCTGTTCCTTAACCTACTGGTCCGGGAGCAAAGGGCCCCGTAGCGCCTCCCAGAGGGGAGCAGGGGAAACCGTCTATGGCTGGGGCGACAGTCGTCCTTCACGATGCTGCGCGCCCTCCTCAGACGTCTTTCGTGCTGGACAGACTCGATGGAGGGAGTGAGGAAGCAGTGATGCGCTGGGCAAATTTCGCCACCCTCAATTTTTATTGTTTGATTCTGTCTGATTTGATGTTTACTGATAAGGTACAGTGCCAGTAAGAACATGTAGAAGAGGATCTTGTGCCTGAAGCAGAGGACAACCGGCAACGCGAGAGGGCTGGGGAAGTCCCTGTACCCCGACGTTCAGTAATGGAGAGGCTAAGTCCACCTACTTCCATGCAACTGACTGGTAATCTTGCTGATAATTGGAAGCGTTTTAAGCAACGATTCAATATATATTTAGCAGCAAGTGGAGCAGGGGCTGATGATGAAAAACTGAAAGCTCACATTCTTTTGCATGTTATGGGAGAAGATGCTTTGGACATATATAATAGCTTTCAGTTGGATGAAGCTAATATGACCTTAGCAGAATTAATGATAAAGTTTGAAGAGTACTTTGTGCCTAGCCAGAACGTGACGTTTGAGAGGTACAAGTTTTTCACCCATGACCAGAAGCAAGGAATACATTTCGATCAGTACTTAGCAGAGCTTCACACATTAAGCAAAACATGTGAATTTGGCACCCTGAGAGATTCGCTAGTGAGAGACAGGATAGTTTGTGGCACAGTGGATAATGCACTCAGAGAGAGACTGCTCAGAGAGGCTGGACCTTCACTGGAAAAGTGTGTCACTATGTGCAGAGCAGCAGAAACAACTCGAGCACAAGCAAAAGAGCTTCGGAGAGGTGAAACTACAGTGCATGCAGTACATAAAGAACAGAGATATAAGAAAACATTTACTAAACAAAAAGACCAGAAAGAGAAATCTGCAGAATTCAAATGTGGTAAATGTGGAGGCAGCCACAAGCAAAAATCATGTCCTGCGTATGGAAAATCCTGTAACAACTGTGAAAGGAACAATCACTATGCAAAATGTTGCAAGTCAGCTTTTAAGCAGAAGGTTCACGCAGTTGGTGAGGAAGAAGAGGATGATGGGGAGTTCCTTGTGGATGTGGTGCAGGCTCGGACTGATGAAAAAGAGGAATGGATTGTGCCAATCGAAGTGAACAAGACGGTAATACCATTCAAGCTAGATACAGGTGCCCATGTAAACCTGTTATCTTATGAGGATTACAAGACATTGGCAGTGAAAAGCAAAATTCATCCAATAAAAACAAAAGTGACAGGATACACTGGAGAAAGGGTTCCTGTTAAAGGCGGATGCATCGCAACCTTCAAATACAGAGACCAGCAGATAAGAGCATTGCTACTGATTGTGGATACAAGTGCACAACCAATCCTGGGACTCAAGGCATGTACAACCTGGTCAAAAGAGTGTTTGTAGTGACATCATCAGAAACTGCCAATGATCATGACTCACTGATGGAGGAGTATAAAGACTGCTTCGAAGGACTTGGATGTCTACCCGGAGAACACAAATATGCATAGACAAAAGTGTGTCTCCTGTTGTGCATCCTTGTAGGAAAGTTCCTTTTGCATCGCGTGGAAAACTGAAAGAGGAACTTGCGCGCATGGAAAAACTAAAGGTCATCAAGAAAATAGATGAGCCAACTGAATGGGTCAGCTCGCTGGTTGTACGTATAAAAGAAAACCGGTGCTCTGAGAACGTGCTTGGACGCAAGAGACTTAAACAAAGCGATCAAAAGAGAACACTTTAAGTTACCAACCAGAGAAGAAATCATGCCACAGTTTGCTGGAGCTAAATGGTTCAGCTAGAACTAGACTAGACGCTTCATCAGGTTTCTGGCAGCTGAGGCTGGAAGAGGAGAGTTCGAAGCTGTGCACATTCAACACACCTAGGTTTCTTCGTCTGCCGTATGGTATCCTGTCAGCGCCTGAAGTCTACCGTAAGACTATTCATATGATCTTTGAGCACATACCAGGAGTGTAGACAATGATGGATGACGTCATAGTCTGGGGGTCGACTCGAGAAGAACACGACAAAAAACTGAGACTGTGCTAGAAAAGACAAGGGAAGTGAATCTGAAGCTAAACAAAGACAAATGTGAGTTTGGAGTGAAAACACTTACCTTTGTGGGAGATGTTGTCAGTGAAGAGGGGGTGAAGCCCGACCCGAGAAAAACGTCAGCAATGAACAAGACCAAACAACAAAGACGAGAAAGCGCAAACAACAAAGACGAGGTCAGATGTTTTCTGGGAATGGTCACCTATTGGCCAAATTTGTCCCTCAGCTGTCAGCGCAGTCAGCACCTCTCAGGAGTCTTCTTGAACAGAAGAATGAGTGGATTTGGTCCCATGAGCAGGAACAATGTTTTGTGAAACTGAAAGACTCTGACACAAGAGCCCGTGTTAAAGTTTTATGACCCAGAGAAGAAAACAAGGATTTCAGCAGATGCGTCACAGTACGGCTTGGGAGCGGTGCTGCTGCAGGAATACGATGAGCAGTGGCTACCTGTTGCTTATGCATCCAGAGCCTTCTGAGTCCAGCGCTGAGTCCAGGTATGCTCAAATCGAGAAGGAGCTGTTAGCGAGCATGTATGCATGTGAACGTTTTCACCAATATGTCTATGGTCAAGCTTTTGAAGTGGAAACAGACCATTAACCTCTGGTGTCCATCATGTCCAAACCTCTAAATGACTGTCCTGTACGGATACAGCACATGCTAATCAGGCTGCAAAAATATGACATACACATGATATACACACAAGGGAAATACATGTACACCGCCGACACCTTGTCCAGAGCAGTGGATAAGGGGGAGCGTGCGGACAGCGAAGACACTGCAGAAATCCAGGCGTATTGTCACGGTGTGGTTCACTTCCTGTTGTATTTTGTAGTTTTCTGCCACTCGCGTCCCCGGGTAACTTCACTTCCTGCCTTGTCTCGTCATCCCCTGTGATCGTCTAATAGTTTCCACCTGTGTCCAATCACCTGCACCTCTCTTGTGTATTTAAGCCGCGTGTCTCTTGTGTCACTTGTCGTGTCATTGTCTATTGTCGTGGATGTCGTGGATGTTTTTGGCCTTTTGACTATTAAAGTCTTTTGTTTTTCTGAGAAGTCTGCATTTGAGTCCTGCCTCCCCCACGCATCCTTAACACGTATGTGGATATGATTGTGTTGAATCTGCCGGTAACAGCTGACAGAACAGATCAAATACGCAGAGAGACAAATGCAGATGAAACGATGACAGAACTCAAACGCACAATACAGACAGGATGGCCTGAAAACAAAAGGGATTGCCCCACGAAAATACAAGACTACTGGAACTGTAGATCAGAGCTCAGTGTGGTGGATGACTTAGTGTTGAAGGGGAGCACGTTTGTTATTCCATCATCGTTACGTAAACAAATGCTCCAAAAGATACACGAAGGCCATCTCGGAGAAGTCAAGTGTAAACGGGGGGCAAGAGAAGTAATGTACTGGCTGAGAATCAATCAAGATATCAGCCAGACAACAGCGTTGTGTGAGCTATGTCGCATCTACAGGCCAAAACAACAAGCTGAGCCGCTGATGACTCATCCAGTGCCCCACAGACCGTACTACAAGGTTGGTACTGATCTCTTTGACTGTGATGGAAAGAGTTACATAGTGGTAACCGACTACTTTTCAAATCATCGAGAAGTTGGAGCGCTGCAGTCAACATCAAGCAAAGCAGTCATCAGCTACCTCAAGACTGTCTTTGACAGGCATGGAGTGCCATGTGAACTGTTTTCAGACAATGGGCCCCAGTTTTCCAGCTGTGAGTTTGCTGCCTTTGCCAGGGAATGGGGATTTCAACACTCAACATCGAGTCCAACCTATCCAAAATCCAACGGCTTGGCAGAAAGCTCAGTGAAAATAAAAGAGGAACAAAAAGCAAAGCAGAAACAGCTGTACGATCGAACGGCAAAACACCTGCCAAAGCTGAGTCTTGGAGACCTGGTGCGTCTCAGGGACGTTTCTGCATGCACATGGGGACAAAAGGGACAGGTGAAGGAGGAAGTTGCTCCACGCTCCTACAGGATCCAGACGGAGAATGGAGTGTCTCTGAGGAGGAACCGCACTGATCTGCAACTACGAACGACTGAACAGGACAGTATAGTTCAAGAGACGGGTCAGGAGGACACACCTGAATCTACTGAGCTATCGGACAGTGGTCTGACAGCGACGTCTGCGTCAACGGCTGAGGCGACACCTTTCAGATTGCTGAAATCGCCGGCTGCTGAAAGACAGGCTAGACCTAGGAGACATGTTCAGCCACCTATGAGGTTGATTGAGATTTGCTAGACTATCTTTAGTTTGTTTTGTTTGCAAGGAACGAAAAGGCAATGTGTACCTTTTAAGTTTGTCTTGTTCGAGTAAGTTTACTTAAAAATTTTTTTTTTTTTTAAAGGTGAAGTTGCAATTGTAGGAGTTGTTTACAAGGATAGTTTATATGTTACATTACACCTGCGCTTTAAGATAGTTTTTACAGGGGTAAATATTATCTCATTGTAAGGGGAAAGATGTGATGTTTACTAGATGTTACTGATTACTGTTAAGGTAAAGAACTCCTTCACCCAGCATTCCCTAGTCAGTGGTGAGGGACATGCGCGGCAGACCCCGGGTAGCATTACAGCGGACTGTGCTAGTTGACATTAAAAGTTCATGAAACGTATATCACGGCTCGTCTGCTTCTTATAAGATTAAGCAAGGTACGACACCGTCAATTCTGGCACGCACCTGTTGACCCCACCAAGTGAGCACAAGATGGATTTTCAACGTTGAAATCTGGTTGAAATCGTGTTGAAATGAGGTCTGAACATCTAAGACCTCATTTCAACGTCTTTTCAACCGGCTAAAAATTGGATGAAACATCAACGACCAAAAGTAAACATCCCAGAATGTTTTTTCGTGTGTTTGGTGTTGTTGTACCCATAAAATATTATTGCCTTTCCCATTTCATATTGAAGATACGTTTTTAAAGCAATGGGTGCTAAATACATTGCAAGGGTGAAGGGCTGAAGTCAACAAGTTGTGGTCTGTAAACAAGAGGGCCAAAATGTTGTAAGCATGCGTGCTAAAAGCATGATACTGTGTAATATACCTGGAAATGTTACTTATGTTATGTTAGAAATGCCATAAGTTGCAGATAAATTGTTATCTTGTTTATAATGTAATAAGTGAACAATCTATAAATGACGGCTCTAACACACCTGCTGCTGTCGTCATAAATCCAAATGACCAACTTTGCCTTTGTGCCTTCTCTCCTTACAGGGTGGTGGTTGCATCTGATGGAGGTTGCATCTGATGGAGGTTGCATCTGATGGAGGTTGTCCCTGCACTGGTCCTGCCTTACCTTACGTCCTAAATGATTCGTGCCCGGATAATTCAAAGCGACTGTCTAAACACTCCGGCGCGGTAGGCGGCGGTATTCTCCCTCTCGGTTCCCCGCTCTCTACTGATTCCGGTTCGTGTCGCCTCCCAGCAGCTGATTATCCAAACAAGTCATGGCGGAGAAAGGAGCAGAAGGACCCGCCAAACCCGCGCTGACCGCGGCGCAGCTGCAGCTCTCCCGCCGCCGGCAGGAGCTCGACTACTGGAAGAAAAACGCGTCGCGGCTCCGCGGCCGGAACCTGCTGACCGGCCTGGCTATCGGGGCCTTCGTGGTCGGCATGTGTATCCTTCGGTGGGGTCCTGAGGAGGACGAATATGATGACATAATACGCGATGAGTATAAAGTTAGCAAGATATTGACTGATTCAGACTTCCCGGTTCAGTAGCTCGTCACAAAAAGTTGTTAAAAGACAAATGACACCTCTCTGTAACCGCAGTAATGTCGACAACCAGCCACAACCCCAATGAACCATCATTTTACCAGTACGGACCGGTCCAGGAGCTGGACGAATCGCATTGGGCTTAATGTGCGGCCGCCCGTGAGACGAGTGCGCAGGGAGCGTCTGCAAAGTGCAATGCGGAAAAACAGAAATATTCAATAACTCCATTATTATGATTATGGTAGAATCACCAATGCTTGTCAATACTTATCATTATTATCCATGGGCTTGTTGTTGTTGTACTACACTTACTGTGATGTAAAATCGCTTTTGAGTAATTATTAACAATAAGTCTGAATATTTATTGCAAATAATATTCAATAATTCCACGGTTATGGATTCTACCATTAACAAAGTCGCCCCATATGTCCATAGGCTGTTATTGTTGTATTACACATGTTAGTTTTTAAGAAAATGGCTTCTATTATTTTTTTATAATAATAATAACTAATAATATATATATATATATTTATTGGAAATAATATTCAATGACTGCTCTGTTATCAATAGTAGCATCCCCAAAGTCACTCCATGCATGGACTTGTACTTGTACTACACCTGTTTGTGCGGTGATTGAATATTATTTGATATTCACATCCATAACAGTAAAGTTATTGAATATCATTTGCAATAAATATCCAAAAATAATTATACTCCAAAGCTCTATTCTTAAAAATATCATTTGTAATACAACGATAACCGCACCATAGACGTATGCCATGACGTTGGTCATGCTACACTAAGCTAACAGTTGAGCTATTGACTCCCAATAAAAAACATTCTGCAGTATATTTGCGGATCTCTCAATAATTACTGCTTTACCACAACCCCATGGTGGTTAAACGCTGAATATACATTAATTATTAAATATTATTCCCAATAGAAAATCACCATAATTAATCAAAGGGACATTTAATTTAAAACAACACCTGTAGTACAACAAGAACAAGCCCATTGATGTATGGAATGACTGGTCATTCTACACTTCATAACAGTATTGAATAATGTTTACATTAAATACTCAAAATAATTCATCATTATAAATCAAAAGCCTATTTCATCAAAGTAACTACTGAACTACTGTAGTACAACAATAATGAGTGACTGAGAGCGAAAAGTGGCGGGTTTCCTTTTCAGTAGGGCTCATTGATTAGTCAGACTGCAGTGTTTCCCCTAGGTCAGCGATTCCCAAAGTGTGGGCCGCAGCCCCCTGGTGGGCCGCGAGAGGTCATTTACAATAAATAAAATGTTTTTAATTTTCAATTACGAAAAGTTTGAAAATAATATCAAAATATTTATGATGCGGCACATTAGTTATGTGCAACATTAATTGATGAAGCACAAACAATTTAAACGAACAGATTAATAAAACAATAAGGCTCTCGCTAGAAACGGCTGCTCTTGTCCGCCTGTCGTCGTTCAACAAACTGGGCGCCCTCTTGTAGTATTAAAGTAAATATACTGCATTTTCCGCACTCCAAGGCGCACTTAAAAGCCTTTGATTTTCTCAAAAAACGACAGTGCCTTATAATCCGGAGTGCCTTATATATATGGATCAATTGGTTAATCGGTTGATCCATACTGGTTGTACACGGCGCTCGAGGCGCTCGGCCAAAAATGGCAAAGCTCGGTCTACAACGGCGAGATGCTGAGCGGCGCTCAAGCACGTGAGATATGGAGCTGCTTTCAGGGCGCGTCGGAGAAACAAAGCTGTCGTTCTCGCCGAGCACTTCATGAGATTAAAGAGCGAGAGACGGCGCCCTTTTCTCTACAGTAGCTGAACCGTCTTAACGGGGAAAATAAGTTATTCTAAAAGGGGCCCTTGGCAGGCGGCGTGGCTGGAGAGCAGCCGAAGATTTAAGGCGTGGATGGCGAGGGGGGCGGCGGGAGCGGACGCACCTCGCAGCATCGATCGGACCCTGAAAGCACCGTCTCCACCTCCCCACATCCCCCCAGCCAAAATTGGGTCGTGGCCCTAGGGGTTTAACTTCAGGGGTAGGAGTTTGGCGAATGGTCTGGCCGACAGGGGTGATAATAGTCAGTCCACTGGTGCTCTCTGTCCGCTGATTTTAATTTTCAGGCACCCTTATTATAATGCTGGGGAAACACTGAACTTGCTGCAATCGGTTATCAAAACATTGGCCAAATGACCCGTTCACGAGCAAATATAGAATCCCTATACCTTGATTTCTAAATTCTTTCATTAAGACATGCATATCTTTATTTAAGATGCTGTGCTACTTTCGAGCAGCTGTGTTGTGCTAGATCCTCAATAAAGTTCAAGCAAACCTTGAAGATGCTCATTGACATGGAGTTTGCATGCGGAAGAAGAGGCGAGTCCATGTCGCTACATGCCCAAGTGATATCCGTTTGTGCCGTTCTTAAAAGGGAACCTGCCGCTCTCGGCGCTACTGACAATAATGAGCCCACATCTGTATAAAATTATTTGGGCCGAGCTACATTCATAATAGTGAAGGTTTTTTTTTATGTCTCTAACGTGTTTTTTCCACATTGCACTTCGCGGACGGTCCCTATGCAATCCACACGGGGCCGATCACATTATAACCAATGTTCTAACTTTGAATTGTCACATTGTTTAAGGTTAAAAAAACGCTTGTCAGCTGAGGTTGCCGATGTATAGACCATAACGAAAATAATATTGTATAGCACAAAGGATCTGGCAAATAGCGTATGAAAGAACGGCATACTTCAGCTGTAAATATGTATCCTCTTTATGAAGTAGTGAAATTGAAAGTCCTGATATGATATCTGCCTTTGTACAAGCTGTTGTCAGGTCATCTACATTTAAGGTGAGACTAATGTAGTCAATATTATTTCTTATTTGTTTGAAACCAAAATGAGGTTTATGAAAATCAACATCAAGTCATATTTGTTTCAAAATTAAGAATGCGGTTAGTCAGAAAATTCAGACAATGTACCTATTTTTTGAAATAAAGATAATAAACAAGTATAAGTAAAGTTAATATGTACAATTAATTTGCCTTGGTTTTATACAGAAAAATATTTAGATTCAAAATATTGGACTCTTAACTTACTGAAAACAGTTTCTTGTATATATACTGCAAGGGTCATAGAGTTTACCCATGCAGCGTTGTTTCTTTTTTTTGCATAATAATGAGTCAATGAATCAATAAAAAAAGGACAATTCAATTCTACAGAACCAATAAGGTAAATGAGGTGCAGGTGTCTGTTTTTGAAAGTGCTTTCCTTTGACCGCAGTCGTCCAGTTAGCTACACAATCCTGTCCGTCAAACAGGAGAGGATCGTGGAGGAGCTGGATGATGAAGTCAAGATCCAAATCCTCAGAGGGCCAAGGACCGGCGCCAACTCCTGACCACGTCCTGCCCCGCGGCCCTCCTGTGGGACGTCACAGCGGCTGCAATGTGTCATGTCCGCATGCCAGTCTTCAATCTGACCAGTCGCCGGAATCACAGAGAGAAGTCGTGCAACGCTACTGAGCCGGCGGGGAATTGGCAAAGCCTCCGTTTAAGACACTCTCTCACCACCCGCCCCTCAACTCCATAAGTCATATGTGGACATTCCAAATGTCTTCTCTGCTTCTTCTGTTTTTAAATATATTCAAAACTATTATTGAATTATTTTCTGCCTTTAATATAAACCTACTCAATAAAAGTCTAGCCTCGATGAGGAAAATTGCTTTTTGTTTTTTGCTGATTCAATCATTTCCCAAAATATTCCCCATGTTTTCATAGATATTTCCTTATTATAGGGGTTCTTTAAAGGTGATCCTGGTGTTCATCTTGAATATATATTCTTCACATGCCAACTTTTTTTCATAGGGACATTTTCATCAAACGTCCCCACTAAAACTGAGGCACAGAGTCAACCTCCAAGCCCAATAGGATCAGAATCCTTCATTTTTCCATCCCTTGCGTGCCTTTTCACACCACCTAGCGTGCGTCGACGCATTTTTCTAGCCCGCAGGGCTGTGATTGGTCTGCTAACTACATCCTTTACGGAGTCTCACATTTTCGCTTTAAGACTGTGACCAGGAAGCGTTAGTGGTGTTGTCAGACTGAATGCAGAGTGTCGAATAAATCCGCAAGGATTTTGTTTTTTTGCAAAGTTTTTGTTCCTCAGGCTTCCACACTGTAATATTTAATGAAAACAACAGAGGTCGGAGGTAGTCTTCAAACTTACAAATGTTTCCCAGATCTTCCTTTTTTACTTAAAGGCCGCGTGTCTGACATGTTGCACTGAGGATTTATCACATTTTCTATGATCTGTTTGTGTCATTACAGATGACGTCAGAATTGCATCGCTAAAACAGAAGAGTAATGATAGAGGGGGTACGTTTATTTGGCCTAAAAGAAAGAGCGACATTGACAGTTACCAAAGTTATGTCCACATTGTTACTGGCGCATCAAAGGATTTACTAAACAAGGTAGTAATAGTGGTGATAGTGCCACAAATAAATGTCAAAATAGGTAAAATTATTACAAGGGGAGTATTAGTTTAAAGAAGGGAAATGCTGGCAATATTGTTTGCATTACAGTGGAGAGGACAAAAGACCACTGAGGGCAATCGTTTGTTTGGACTCAAGTTCTTCACTAGACAGCTTACAGAACAGTCGTTCAGACAGCAGGCCGGAAATCCTCATTGAACTACAGCAAACTTTACACAGGATTCAGATGATGGGTCTGACACCAGTGTTCCTATGAGTTCCAGCACATGTTGGTGTCAGAGGGAATGCAATGGCAGACAAAGCTGTAAAGGAAACTCAACAAACAAACAAAGGATATCTTGGATCGAAAAGTTATTTTATGAGACAAGTTATATGTCTGTCGGTTCCACCCGCAAATCTAGAACAATGGGTGCCTACAGGTATTTATACAGGTCAGTAAAGGTGTGAAAGGCAGCGTCCATGCCCCTGGGCATGTGATGTCGCCTGGCGCGTTCAAGTGAAGAGGTTTTACAGAATATGGTGGGGCAATGAGGTTTTACACTGGATGGTGCGTTCTTGTAACTCGGAATACGAATGTTGGTCAATATAAGTGGTGGTATCAAGTATTACATGCATTAGTTAATTACATTAAATTGAATACAATCATAGCTGTGCATTGGTATTATTCTATTGATTATAGTTTCAAAATTACAGTGGAATTACACTATTCTCATTTCTTTATTGATTACATAGTTTCAGAAAAATAGCTGTATAGTGGTTCATGATAAATGCATTTTATTATTTGGTCTAATTTATGAACTGGGTTTGTTTATAATATGTTTATTTTGTTTAGGATATCCACAACACAAATAAGAGTTGAAGTCAACTTTAGCAAAGTAGAAACCAAAAGTATTATTAGAGAGAGGTTAAAGAAAAGTTGTCTTGTCGTCCATTGTCGTACCGCCAAGTCAAATTCCTTGTATGTCTGATATACTATGGCAATAAATGTTTCCTGATTCCCGATTCCTGAAAAGAAAGCAGAAGCAGTGTGAGGAGGACAGAAAAGGTGATTTTCAGAATTTAGAGGGAAAGTGGGAGAAATGAGATGGGCAGGAAGGAACAGGAGAGAAGAAGCAGTGATATCAAAGCTCCAATTTGGACACACAGTAAGCTACACAGGATAGGGAAACATGAAACACGCAAATGTGAATATTGTGGGCAAGAGGAAACGATAGAACACGTTATTCTACTGTCAGAGATATGAACATTAGCTAATTAGAAGCCTCTGCAAGGAAAAAGTACATATAGACATAGAAGGTATTCTGCAAAGTTACTCAAGTAATCAAGCACAATTACAGTATCTCTGAATTCCAAATATTATCGGGAAAAATGAGCCCTGGGTTTATCTAGTTAGTTATTTTTTTAAAACATTTTTATTTTAATATTTTATCAATTTAATTTAATTTGTATTTCTTTATTTTCGTTGAAAGCAAGTTCTAGACATCCTCATCCAAACTCCGCACCAGTTAGTGACGGTAATGCATCATACAGTTGTTTGCAGTTGTTTAAACCCCAATAAACCCTAAAGAAGAAGAAGAGGAAGAAGAAGAAGAAGAAGAAGAAGGGAACCGGATGTTGATCTCTGAGCAACATGGCGCCGATCGGTCGTAGAATCCGCAGAGTGTCTTTGTTACGTTGATAAAGTATCAGTTATCTCCATCAGTCCTGATCCACAAGAGTCTCTGGGCGTCTGGATGAACCTCTGATGGCTGCTCACCCCTCTCCTGGATCTTTTTCTTCTAAAACATCTCCGCGGTAGCATGCTAAGCTAACTTCAATAGCTGGAAACAGACCGAAGTTAGCAACACAGCGCTAGCCCGAGTTTAACTTACGGAGTTTATCTGGAGGAAGCGTGTCTGTGATTCAGTGAAGATGTCTAAAGTCCAAATGCTGAGATGTTTAGTGAAGCAGCGACTCACTGCGGCTGTCGAGGAGATATTTGGGCTGTTTGAAAGAACGATAGCAGAGTACGAGGAGGAAGCTTCTAGATTAAAAGAGGACAACGAGCGACTAAAGAAACGTCCGGACATAAATCTCCAGCTTCGGTCTCAAGAAGCAGGTTTGTGCACGAAACACTCCGCATCTTCATGACAGGGAGCATCTGATCCCAAAGACGAGAACCTGAAGCGTGAAAGATCTTCATGGAATTCTTACACAAACGAGTGAAATACATGAACATGTTACATAAGATACAAATACATACAAATACAACTTTAAAATGACTGGGTCAAGAGGGAAAGTAGAATACACCGGGGGGAGGGTTATTAAGTTGGAAAACATTCACTTTTATTTGAAAATGACAATAGAGTGCATGTGTACAAAATTAACATTGTAAAAGATGTAGACAACATTCAATTCCTATGACAAAAATGATTCAAATATTAATAGTACTAATATTAGTAGTAAGCCAGGTGTACGGCATGCTTCATTTACTTGCATAGTTTGATCTTCTCATGAGTGAAATTGTACAACAGGTTATTTTGCATGTATATATTTCTGCTGGACTATTTAGTAACTTATTTGCTGTTTTGCTTTGTCTTGTGTTGCACTTGCTTGATGTTTAACTGTGTTAGGAAAGTTGTTGTCAAGCTAGCCAACAAAGCTACAGGGCCGCCAACTCTCACGGTTCCCGGGACACAGTCAAACATCAAGCGCAACACAAGACAAAGCAGACGTCCTCTTTTACCCGGACATTTCCTCTTTTCAAGACTTGCGTCCGGGTAAAAGAGGACGTTTGGTCTCCCGAGCTAAGCTAGGCTAAGGCTACTCGTGTTGGGCTGTATGTGGGTGAGCTTGGGGGTGTTCATGTTTATAATTTGCTAACCTGTCGTTCTTTGAACTCTGTGAGAAGTTACATGAGGGAATGTCTCCCCTGATAACTCGCTGTGAGTGGGGAGCGCGGTCGTCCTCCAATCGGAGGGTTGTCGGTTCGATCCCAGGCCCGGATAACCCGCATGTCGATGTGTCCTTGGGCAAGACACTTAACCCAACATGGCTCCTGTAGCTGCGACTACAGTGTGTGAATGTTAGTTACTGATGGCAGGTGTCACCGTGTGTGTTCTCCTGTCATCAGTGTGAATGGGTGTATGGGTGCATGTAGTGTTAAAGCGCTTTGAGGCGAGAATGTTAGCAGAAAAGTGTCAAATTCCCTAAACTCAACCTTTGTGGAAAACACAATACAACCAATTTATTTATTACACCTGTATGACATTGAAATAGTGTAAAATCTCTTATCTACAGTTCTGGGCTTCAGGCGGTTTCTTTTTTTATATACGATTTAACCTGCTGTAGAGAGAACTCTTTCACAGCACACAGATGAAGCTGGTTTGCATAGAAAAAACACCGCAGGTTGGTACAGATTAGGGAATCGATTTTTTCTGTCCTTCCCGATACTCAAGAGGGTTCCCCAGTCTTCCAATATCCGGTTCACCTAAGTACATTTGGACCTCCATTTTCCATTTTGGATCCTCGTCTGCAGGACTGTTGTGTCCAAACGATGCCACTGTTTTACCTAAGACAGACAAACAGGCTGAAAGTGACTAAATACAGTAACACTATTAGAATCCATCACGTATCCGTTTCCTGGAGTCTGAGACACTCCTGGTATTTGCGCTTGTGATGCCGGGGAAGAGGAGGAGGTGCAATCAATGCACATTCAGCAGTGAGCCTCGTCTCGGCATCCGTGGTTTTGTTGGTGCTGAAGAAGCCAATTTTTTAAAATCTGGCTGCCACATGTACAGCTTCTCCCTTAACTGTCCCCTCAGACTCTCAGCCATTGCTCTGCTCTTTGGAGTTTGGACAATTCCCATTTCCTCCTCCAGTGTGTGTGGTGCAGCATTGATAAAAGTGGAATCACTTTGGTAGGATGTTATGCCATTGTTATAGTTGCGTCTGCCAAAGCTGCTCCTACAAGCTCCACAATATCATACATTCGTGTCGTATTGGAGCATGTGGTATGTGCTATTCCAGCGTGTGTCCACCGGTAGAATTAGCCAACAAGTGTCCCTGCAGTAGCAACTTGAACAGCGTCATTCAGAACAGGGGGCCTTAACCACGGGCCGCAGACCGGTTCCGTTAGACTAATTAGAAAATAAAAAAGTTATTCAATATACTTCGGACCAAAACACAATCTTTCTTAAACTAGAATAAATTGTAATATGCTTCATAATCTTCAGCCTCCGTTCTCTCAACCGGCAACTTTGACACTAAATGTAATTGATGGAGTAACTTTTTAAATGCCATTAGTCACTGATTCTAACGGGACACATTCAATCATTTTCCTTCCTTTGGCGTAGTTCAATGCACTCCATTATTCATATTCTATTCCATTCATTTTCAGCATTTGCTATTTTTTATTTACAGATACATATTTCCTCTACAAACTACTTGATTGAGTGAATTGTGTTGTGTCTGATAGCTGTAGCTGAGTGCCATCAATTTTACACTTCATGGGTTTATGATTCACACTTTATTTATCAACCATTGTGGCATATTCGGATATTTATTTATATCATTACAAAATGTTCTCTAAGCTGCAATGCAGAACTACTATATTATGACAATGTACTTACTTGCAGTAAAGTGACCAATCACAGCTGATGAAGCTGTTTGGTGATCTACAATCTTTAAAAGTTCACATAGAATCTCTGTGTTTCTGCTCTCCTGCAGACATCCAGCAGCTGTTGGTGGTCAAAGAAGAGCTTCCCTTTGAACAGCAGGAGTGGAGCTCCAGTCTGGACCAGAAGGACCCAGTACCCCCCCACATCAAAGAGGAACAGGAGGGACTCTGGACCAATCAGGAGGGAGAGCAGCTTCAAGGGCTGGACGAGGCCAATATAAAGTTCCCATTTACTTCTTTCACTGTTAAGAGTGAAGATGATGAAGAGGAGGCTCAGTCGTCACAGCTTCATCAGAGACAAACTGAACAGATGGAAACCGCTGCTGATGGAGAGGACTTCGAAGGGCCACATTCAGCCAGAAACACAGATCTTGATAAACATTTAAAACCAGATTCTGTTGACAAGACCACAGACTCTTCTGAACCTGAGACTGATCACAGTGATGACTGGAATGAGACCAGAGAACCTCCATCAGGTTTAAACTCTTCACAAAGCGAGGAAGTCTTCGTTAGCGATTTGACAGGTAGTACTGGTGAGAAACTATTTAGATGCCCTGAGTGTGGGAAATTATTTGGCTTCAGGGGAAATCTGAAGATACACATGAGAAGTCATACAGGTGAAAAACCTTTTAGCTGCTTAGTGTGTAAGAAATCTTTTACACACAGTAGAAGTGTACAGAAACACATGAGGATACACACAGGAGAGAGACCTTTCAGCTGCATGGTGTGTGCGAAAGGTTTCATCGAAAGTGGAGACCTGAAGAGGCACATGAGAATTCATACAGGTGAAAAACCGTTCAGCTGCTCAGTCTGTCAAAAATGTTTTACACAGAATGGAAGTTTACAGAAACACATGACGACTCACACGGGAGAGAAACCTTTCAGCTGCGTAGTGTGTGGTAAAGATTTCACTGAAAGTGGACATCTGAAGAGACACATGATAACTCACGGAGGAGAAAAACCATACAGCTGCTCCATTTGTAATAAATCTTTTACACACAGTAGAAGTGTACAGAAACACATGAGAATCCACACAGGGGAAAAGCCTTTCTGCTGCTCCGTGTGTGGTAAAGGTTTCATTGAAAGTGGAGACCTGAAGAGGCACATGAGAATTCATACAGGCGAAAAACCGTTCAGCTGCTCAGTCTGTAACAACGCGTTTGCACAGAAAGGATGTTTACAGGCTCACATGAGAATCCACACGGGAGAGAAACCTTTCAAATGTTCCGTCTGCCATAAAAGATTTGTTCGAAAGTCCAGTCTGAAGGCACACATGATAACTCACATGAGCGAGAACTCCCTTTAGTTCTGTTGGCGATGGAGGTTTTTCCCGAGAGGTCAACGTGACACGCCAAACAGGAGAAACAATGTTGGGAAATAGCTAGAAGGTTGTCCTCAGAATGTGTAGACAAAGGTGCTGGACTCACATAAAAGGTGCAGAAGATCCTATATTTATTATAATATAGCAAAAGGCCGCTGGTCTCTGCAAGTGAAACTGGAAACTTTCTTTAAGCACAATGCAGTACAACACAAAGCTTTAGGGCTGTCAAAATTTATCAAAAATGACGTTCGAATATTCGCTTTAAAAAAAAACATGCATCCAAATATATTCGAATATCTGGTTGCGCATTAGGCACGTCAATAATACAGGGCTCTCAACTTTTCAAGAAACCTTGGAGTGGTATTTTGTTGGGGGTTGATGCTACAGCTGACTTGGGGGCGCGGGCGATACGGTCGACGGGGGGGGACCAATGCGGCTCGGTCTGATTTATTTTGTGGCGAAATTGGATGTGTGGCGGGAGTGCGTGACTAGAAATGAGTCATTTATTTAAGTTTAAACGTATTTAACAACATATTACCACAAAAATAAGTAAATTAACTAATGGCCAAGATCTTGCTCGCTCACACACACACGCACTCTCTCTCTCCCGCACCGTCGCGCTCTCTGTGTATAGTGGTTTAAATGACAATAAACAAATGCGGAGTGCTCATCGAGAGTTTTGTGCAAGCATTTCTTTAAGGTCATGATTCTTGTCCCAAATATGGCAGGCTTCATTCAGTGAAGGTATCACAATCCACTGTTCGAAGACTCAGAGAGCAGAAATATAGAGGCCACACCACAAGATGCAAAACACTCGTCAGCAGTAAGAATCAAAAGGCCAGATTGGAATTTGCAAAGAAGTACAGAGATGAGCCGCAAAAGTTCTGGAACACAACCTTATGGACTGATGAGACCAAGATTAATCTCTACCAAAGTGATGGAAAGGCCGAAGTGTGGAGAAAGAAAGGAACTGCTTATGATCCGAGGCATACAAGCTCATCTGTGAAGCATGGTGGAGGTAACGTCATGGCTTGGGCGTGCATGGCTGCGTCTGGAACAGGCTCATTGATATTTATTCATGATGTAACTGATGATGGTAGCAGCAGAATGAATTCAGAAGTGTACAGAAACATTTGGTCTGCCAATTTACGGAGAAATGCATTGAAACTAATTGGGAGGGAGTTTATCATGCAGCAGAACAATGACCCAAAGCACACTGCCAAAAAAAAAAAAGGACTTCATCAGGGGGAAAAAGTAGAAGGTTTTAGACTGGCTAAGTCAATCACCTGACCTTAACCCAATAGTGCATGCATTTCACCTCCTTAAAAGGAGACTGAAGGAAGAAACACCCCGAAACAAACAAGAACTAAAAGACGCTGCGGTAAAAGCCTGGAATAGCATCACAAATGAAGAATGCAACAGTTTGGTGATGTTGATGGGTCGCAGGCTTGGGGCAGTTATTGCAAGCAAGGGTTATGCCACCAAATATTAAATGTTATGTACTTTAAGATTATTTGTTCCAATACTTTTGCTCACTTGAAAAATGGGTGGGTTCGAACAAAGGGTGGTATGTCGTGAGTTGTTTAACAGCTAGATGTGAATACCAGGAAATAAAAGCTGAAATTCTGAACTCTTGTCTCATACTCATCTTTTGATCTTAAACCCAAATGTCTTCAGTGAACAACAAAAATAAAGGAATTTGCCTTACCGTTCCAATACTTTTGGAGGGTGCTGTAATCAAACCCGTGCATGAAGCTGTTGTAGCCTATTTTATTCATGCAATATATAGTCTGTACAGTCAGGCGCGCGCCCACCCACTAAGCAGACAGTAGCGCCGCTGCTGCTCTATTGAGTTTTTTCTTTCTACATTTGAATATAAATTTATTATTATTTATTAATTTACATATATTCGAATTTTGAATATTCGTTGACAGCCCTACTAAGCTTACAAAGACTGAACATTTTATTACACATACAGTGTTTTGTTGGGAGTAAAACACCGCGACACAACAATTTGTAACACTAATAATTGTACATTTATAAAATGACCCCACCGAACTGCATGCTGGGTACAGGTCGTCCGCTATCACAGCAAGAAACACCTAAAAGAGCGGTGCAGGAGGAACGAAGAGAGACGAGAGATGCACCAACCCAACTTGTTCGTAACATCGAGCTCGTAAAAGCTATGGCAAAAATCATGTATATACTTGCATGTAAATTAATTAAATAATGTCACCTTGTGTTCCTACCTTTATGTTGTTTCTCATGGTTTTGAGATTTGCTGTTATGATTTATGTTACTTTTTTGTATACAGTATCACTATGGATCCCCAGCTAAGTACATACTGTCATGTGTCTGTATATGTTTTATGGAAAATATCTAAATTGCACTGTATGGGTTTCCATTGTTTAGGTCAGCAGAGGGGCAGAAGCATTTAAATATTTCTATTTATTCTCCTGTAAGATCAAATAAAATTGGGAAAACATTTGCTGAAGTCGTCTGTGTCTGTGCTATCGCCACATGTTACATACCTGATTTTCCTCTTTGGCAAGATGGCGCCTAATTCAATTCAATTAACTTTATTTTGTATAGCCCAACAACATTGTTTGTCCCAAAACCCTCACATCGGCACAGGAAAAACTCCCCCCAAAATGAAAAAGAAACCTTAGAGAGAACGTCAGAGGAGGGATCCATCTCCCCGGATGGACAGACTACAATGTATGTCTTGATGAGCAATGTAAAAGATGTATAATACATTCAATTCCTATAACAGAAATTATTCAAATAATTGTGAGTAGCAAGCCAAACGCACGGCAAGACCACTGCAGGGACAACAACCATCAGATAGAACCACCATCCGGCAGCAGGCGGGAACAGGGTCCAGATAGAACTGTGGTTAATAGAAACCTGTGAGGCGAGAATGTTAGCAGAAAAGTATCAAATTCCCCCCAAAAATCTATTATTTGACCTTTGTGGAAAATGTCACGTGGTGTTATGAAAGGACAACCATTTGCCCAATCCCGAGACCCCCCCCAAAAGCCTCCGACCCTGAACCCTCAGGAGCTTTATGGATGTCCACTGGTAAGTAGTTGAAGGCCACTGTACTTCTGTCACGCTTCTTGAAGGGGAGGGGTCAGTGGACCACTCTTCAACCTCAACATTAGATTAGTCATTAAATCCCACAGAGTGCTCCTTAAAGTAAAAAGTTTAGGCCAAAACGTACAGCAAATACATTTATTACACTTGTATAACATTGTAATAGTGCAAAACCTTTGGCACAACTCAACACTTGCAATTCATAAACTGTACGTACGATGAAAATTCAACAATAGCCAAGTCACAATCTGTCCTTTTTATGGCCCAAACCCTGATGACCCATCCTTTTTTCATAATTTCTTTTCATCCCTCTCATTTGCAACTGCAAACAGTTGGCGAGTACAGCACCCAAGAGAATTCTCCCCGGCTCACCACTCATACTCACGTATTGACTTCTTCCTCAGCAGTAATTCAATTATATTGAATATTTCTGGGTCAAAGATGCATCCTATCATTATTTGTGATCAAGCCCCAGTAACTTTTTTATTTTACAGAATTAACACACCCAAACCTGTCACTAGATGGTGCTCCAATACGTCTCTTGTTAAAGATCCTCAGTTTAACAGTCTCATTAAAAAAGAGTGGGCATTCTTCCTAAAAATAAATTATTCCCCAGAGTCATCACCAACTATGGGAAACGCACATACAGATTTCAGATCTACCCTTTCCCATCTAATCAATCAAACGCCATTGTAGCTTCAATTCACTGACACCAGCAGAAATCACAAACATCACTTTTGTTCGTTCAAATTGTCTCCCTACGTGGAACAATCCCAACTTTCTAAGCCACAATAAACCTCTACTTTTCCACCCGTGGTACACTGAAGGCATCCCCATGTTTTCATTCCCCTCTTGGTTCGGATGTATGGCATTCGGAACAATACATTTTTGAATATCTGCAACTTAAATAATTCAAACTCAACATCAAGACCATCTGCAATCTGCAATCTTCAATAACATCTACTCCATGACCGGAAATGCAAATTTTCAATTATTACAGTATAAAATTCTTCACATGAGATTCACGTCAGACATATGTTCACACTACTCAAAATAGCCTGGATAGCTACATTCATGCCACCTGGCACTGAACACCAGTTCAACACTTTTGGGAAAGAATAACTGGGTCATTCTCTGTTTTCCTGGGCTGCCTATTGTCCCATTATCTCGCTCACTGTGCTTACTAGGAGACATTTCCACAATAAACCTGAGCAAAACAAACCGCTGATTAGTCCTCGTGATCCTAACTATCACCATGAAAACTATTCTCACGAATTGGAAATCAAGGAATAACACACACTGTAGAAATTCGATGTTGGAATACTGTATATATCAATAGGAAATCAACAACCCCCCCCTCCAACACTAAACAGAACACCACTACATCTGTTCATAATTTGCTATGTTTTTGCAAACATTACACCAGCCATCCCATTGATATTAAAAATTATTATTATTTTATTTGTTCATTACATTTTTCTTTTTTTTGCCTGACAACCAAAAAGGTTGAAGCCCACGTACACGCATACGAACGTAAAAAGCCCTCTGAGACAAATTTGTAATTTGCGATTTTGGGCTATACAAAATAGGCAAGGCAAGGCGAGGCAATTTTATTTGTATAGCGCTTTTCATACACAAGGCCGACTCAAAGTGCTTCACATCATAACATTTCATACAATAAAGTGAAATAAAATGCAGGAATTAAAAGACAATTAAAAACAGCAAATACAATTATAAATTAAAATCTTATTTAAATTGTTTAAATAAAAGCAGAGGTTAAAAGTGCAATGTAGGTAAAATTTAGCAGAAGGCGAAGCTGAACATAAAAGTTTTCAGTCTTGTTTTAAACGTGGTCAGAGTTGGGGCAAGTCTTAAATCTTCAGGAAGTTTATTCCAGCTGTTTGTTGCGTAGTAACTAAATGATGCTTTCCCATGATTTGTATTTACTCTGGGAATCACTAACAGATTGGTGTCAGAAGATAAAACAAATTGAATTGAATATAAGCCAGTCTCCTCCTGAAAATGATCCCACGCCCGAAATTTGCAATGAGGAGGCATTGACTACAGCTACAGGTAGAGAGGATAACAGAGTAAACAATATGAATTAAAGTTATTTAATGTAAGAAAGAGCAGTATCCGAACCAATATGCATTGTTTGCTCAGAAGTGGGTGTAGTAAAGGAGTGCAATTTGTGAAGAGTAGGCTACGAATCATCTTAATGTGCACAGAGAAGGAAATCCTCATGTCTATAAGCAACGACACAGTTGTAGATAAAGTGGCTGAAACCAGTGCACTGCAAAGACGCTTACTGATGGGGTAGATGCTGTTGGTGCTATTTGTAATGCAAATGTACGTCAGAGGGCTTTACAGTCTGTAAACATACGACATCCTCCGTCCTGAAACCCACAAATGCGCACAGGGAAAACTCCCCCAAAAATGAAAAAACCCTTCCAAAAGGGAAAAAAGGGAAGAAACCTTAGGGAGAACGTCAGAGGAGGGATCCCACTCCCGGGATGGACAGACTACAATGGATGCCATGTGTACAGAATGAACAATATATAATACATGCAATTCCTATGACAGAAATGATTCAAGTAATTGTGAGTAGTAAGCCAGTCACACAGCAGGACCACTGCAGGGGCAACCACCATCAGATAGAACCACCATCCACAGAAGCCTGTGGGGAGGGAGAGCACAGAGACTTTAGGAGAGGGTAATGTTGGTTTACTGGTTTACAGTAATATGATTCATATTTAAAATAATAATGCTGATGATGGCAGCAGCGGGTGTCAGCAGGACCAGGGTCCAGAAGGAACTACGATCTACGGAGACCTGCTAGGGGAGAAAACACCAAAAAAAATTCCCGGAAAGAAGCTGAATTAGTCAAAGAAGCTGAATTAGTCATGTGCATTAATAAAACGTGAATTATTGTAGAACAAGAGTGCGAGAGAGGAGCTTGGTGTGTCCTAAGAAGGCTGATGTCAGTAATTTAGTTCCACATTTGCTATATGACCCTGTCGTTCGCAACAACGGTTTATTACTAATATTTGTGTTAGTCTCTTAAAAAGGATAAGATGACCGCCTGGTCGGTGCCCCAAAGGAGAATAAAATATAAACGATGGAGGCTCCTGAGGTTCCAGGACAATCAAACACTGTTTGGTCAACTTTCACATCCATGTAAGCATTGAGCATTGTCACTTTATCCAGCGAAAACCGAAGGGTGTTCCTCATTAGCATACGGACACACACAAAAATAAAAGTAGAAATGTAGAAATAAATATATCATTGTTGTAAAAACTGCAATAATGTCATGTCAAAAAGCAGGTTTTAGACCAAACCAGACTATGTATCGTGTGTACAATAAGTTGTGTGTATGACATTTCAGCTGAGATAAGGTGACCGCAAGGATATGAAATCTGTACACATCACGTGTATGTCCGGCGTCCAGAAGGCCACCTGGTGTCTAATGATTATCAGATGTATGGATAAAGAACATTACATTCCTTGTACAATGAGATCATTGTGCGTGCGCAAAACCTTCCTGTTTATGATACCTTATCCCAGTACATATAAGTGGGAGCTGGAAAAGAAGACCTTCGAGTAGGCTTGGCGCATGACTTGTATATGTGTCAACTCTGTCTCCTGTTTAAAAACATTAAATGTCCTATTTTTGATATTTTTACACCAGTGTCAAGTATTAATTTTTCTAACAATAATACAGACACATAAAGAAAGAAATGTAGGCTAAAAGAAACGTAGAAATAAATATCTGATAAGTGTTTGTTTATGACCTGTTTGATTATCAACTTTTATTTATTTATGGATACATTCATTTACATATTTATTTCAGCATTTATTTATTTATCAAAACATTTATTTACGGATTTATTTATTCATTCCTGTATTTATTTATACTTAAGTCATTTTTTGTCCTCCATACGTACCAGTTACATCCCTGTCACTGGTAGAGAGAACGCCGTGCCATCTACTCCTAAGCGTCTTGCTGCTGCTCCTCCTATCCATTGAAACTTGTATTTGGTCCTTTTTGGTTTTCCCAACATGCCTGTAATACTGACAGGCGCCGACAGGTGATGTTCTTACTGAAAATATACAAATTCTATTCTATTCTGGATTTAATTAGAGCTTTCTACTAATTTATCAAGGATGCAACCTCTGCTGCCCACTCCATCCCTACCAGATATCTCAATATATTTATAACTTTTTTTTTTACATTTTTATTGTGGTCTTGTCAAATTGTAGTCCTAAAAACCAAACCGACTACTATTTGTAACATATTTCCATATAGTTTCAGCTGATAGTTTCCCATATTTCTGTCTTCTGAACAACATTTGTTTTTTCAGCTGAGAATCCAAATCCCCATTCCTTCCCCCATAATTCAACTTGTTTTATCCCTTTTCGTAGTTTTTGAACACTACATTCCAAGTTTCTCCCTTTTTCCATAAGGCCCCATCATCTGCAAATAGTGAGCTTCCTACATCTGGTGTAAAATATGTTGTTTGTTGTAAAAATAATATAGGACTTATTTTCTGTCCCATTTTCTGCCTCGTATTTTCTCAAGCTTTCAATTCCCATTAAATATATTTGAATCAAAAGAGCTTCCCTCCATAGCATATCATATGCCTTTTCTACATCACAAAACACTGCTGCCACAGTTTCTTTACTAACCTACGCCTTGTCAGGGCAATTGGTCTATACTTTGATGGGACACTTGCATCTTTCCCTGGCTTGCTCATAAATAATATAGTACTACTGTGATACAGTAATAATATAGTATAGGAATAATAACCTACAGGAATGTTACTTTCCTCCCACACCTTACTATACAATGTCAGTAACTTATTAAGCCCATTTCCACTTAATTGATTTATCATAATAGACCGTATTTCATAATTTCCTGTGGCAGTGATTCCAGCTTTGGCAACTTCTCTTTTTAACTCCCCTTGTCACGTAGGCAGAGGCAGGACTCAAACGTAGAGTTGACAACAAAAGGTACTTTTATTAAATCCAAATCAAACTGCAGAGGGGCAAAACGCAGACGGGGACCAGGAACAGGCAAGACATGTAATGACGTGACAAAGGTCAAAAGACACGTAGATTAAATACAGTACACTGGGAAGGTTTGGACACAGGTGGAAACAATCAGAGACACGGCAGACAATCACAGGACAAGGCAGGAAGTGAAGTTAACTCAGGGTTAGAGACAGGAAACTACAAAGTAAAACAGGAAGTAAACCCAAACCGTGACACCCCTAATGTAAATGGTACACTGAATTCAGCTTTTGTATTCTCCTTCTTACCCATTTATTCCTCTCTAGGGGGTTTTCCTTCATCAGACAGCTTGGTATTGCTGTGAATATTTACAAACATATTAGCCAATGTCACCGTTTTCTGTTTATTAGTCGCCAGCTTTTAGGACAGGATAACTCCACTCTCTTCTGTCCCCTCCCATCTTTCTAATCATTCCCCACTGTACTTTTTAACTTTATCATATACTGATAGTTGTGAGTTATTTTCATTAACTTAAATTCCCTGTTTCTATTCATATTTGCCACTTAACAAGTATTGCTCCACTATGACACGGCTTTTCTGCTGGATTTTCCTTTACTTCTTGGGATGGACTCTAGTGCAGCTGCCTTAATGCTTTCTGTTAACATATCATTTAGGGTTTCTATAGGCATATCATTATTAATCTTCCTCAGATGCCCATCGCTCTTTTCCTTAAATCTCTTCCAGTTGTCTTTCCCAAAAACTAATTTTTTACCCCAGCCTTCTTCCGTTACTGATACAAATATTTATTTATTTTACAGAATATTGGGTCGTGATCACTGCCTGTGGTTACGCAATTTTATTTGACACTAGTGTGAGATCTAGCACAGCCTCCTTTCCTGTGCTGATACTTATCCTTATTTTACTCGCATTATTTAGGCAAGACAATGTTATTTGTATAGCACATTTAAACAACTATAGGCAATTCAGAGTACGTCTCCAAGAGCTGGTCCGTCTCTTCTGGTTTGATCAACAGATACAGTTGAGTATCGTCTTCATAACAATAAAAGTTTATGCGGTGTTTCCTGATAAGATCGCCCAAAGGAAGCATATAGAGGGTAAACAAAATCGGTCCAAGTACAGAACCTCGTGGGACTCCGTGACCAACATTGGTGGTCTTTGAGGATTCAACGTTTACAAGCACAACCTGGGATCGATCCGATAAGTAGGATTTAAACAAGCTGAGTGCAGTTCCTTTGATACCAATTAAATGTTCTAGTCTCTGCAACAGGATACAAATGCGGCACTGAGGTCCAGCAAGATCATTCGTAATTTTCACCAGTGCTGTTTCTGTACTATGATGGGCTCGAAATCCTGACTGGAAATCCTCGAACAAAGCATTGTTTTGTAGAAAGTCACATAATTGATTTGCGACGGATTTCTCAAGGATCTTAGAGAGGAACGGAAGATTAGAGATAGGTCTGTAGTTAGCCAACACCTCTGGAGCAAGAGTAGGTTTCTTAAGAAGAGGTTTAATTACAGCTACCTTGAAGGACTGTGGTACATGTCCTGTCAACAAAGACAGATTCATAATATCTAATAAGGATGTGCTAACTAAAGGAAAAACTTCCTTAAGCAGCTTAGTCGGAATCGGATCCAAGAGTCAAGTAGAAGATTTAGACTTTGGGAAATAGCGAAAGACAACTCTCAATTGTTTAACATTAAATTCTGCCGAAGACAAAACAAAATCAATTCATTGCCTTCATATCTTTTTCAGCACCTCTGCTCGCTCAGCAATGTAAAACAATTTAATTATTGTTTGTTTCTTAATACACAAAGATATATTTATATAATACAATATTTTGACATACAAATTTGTACTGCAGATTAAAAGACAATGAATATTAAAATAACCAGGAGAAAATGTAACCTAAATCCTAACAACGTATATCTTTAAAAAACTATAAAAAATAAACGAGAGGAAGAAGTCAATGTATGAACAAAATAAAGGCCTTTCGGTATTTTTCTGCAATTGTCAACATGCAAAACAACAGAATTCACACAAGGAGATTCACGAAAATCTATGCGGTAATACATGCAGTAAGACATATAATGGAACATACAAATCAAACTTGCATTTAAACAATGAACGTTCCAATATTAATAGTAGGCATTACGCCTTAAATAAAGCCTTACAATTAGTTTAGGGTTTGTGTATGTGGGTTCAAAAAATGAATTCATCTGCAAGAGACTTCATTTCAAAGCCTAACTTCGCAAAACCCTGACATCCTCCCAAAAGAATAAAACCCTCCCTTCCTGAAAACAGGAAAATGGAAGAAACCTTAGGGAGAACGACCAAGGTGGAGAAATTGCAAACATTGTTGTGCGTAGCCTACAGAATGAATAACCTAAAATATGTACAGTATGTTAAATTCATGTTGTGGCAGCTGTTCTGAAAAAGAGAAACAGAGGCCTCTTACTGGAGCCTTAACTGGGAATGAAGATTGATGGTGAGGTTTTGGTTGCCGGGACATTTGCAGCCAATGAAGGGTACCTAGTGTTACGACCCCGGGCTTTACAGAGGGGCTCTAGAGACGAGCAACGAGCGCCAATCGACGAGGTTGAGCTCCATTAGCTACATATATATCCCAGCAAATCCCATAATCCAGTGCAGGTTGACAAGGAGTTAATTTATTCAGGATGGAGGCAGGTGAGAAGACAACAAGGAAGCAGGAGTTCACGTTTAAATGTAATAAGCGAATTCCCTTAATTCTATAGATAGAATTGTTCTAATATAAACAAAGTTGTGGTCAAAAGTTTACATACACTTGTAAAGAACATAATGTCATGGCTCTTGAGTTTCCAGTTATCTCTACAAGTCTGATTTTTCTCGGAGAGTGATTGGAACAGATACTTTGTCACAAAAAACATCCATGACGTTTGGTTCTTTTATGACTTTATTATGGGTTAACAGAAAAAGTGACAATCTGCTGGGTCAAAAATATACATACAGCAACATGTATTGGCAATTTTGGTGACTGAGAAAGTTGTGTCAATGAAATGAGCTTCATAGCATGGCCTCTTAACTTATTGTGAGTGATTATGAGTGACTACAGCTGGTGACTTCTCTGAGGCCATTTAAATTAGGGCTCAAACGCTACAATGGGAAAGTCAAAGGAGCTCAGCATGGATCTGAAAAAGCGAATCACTTGAACAAGTCAGGAAGTCACTTGGAGCCATTTCAAAGCAACTGCAGGTCCCAAGAGCAATAGTGCAAACACTTGTTTGTAAGTATAAAGTGCATGGCACTGTTTTGTCACTGCCACCATCAGGAAGAAAACGCAAGCGATCACCTGCTGCTGAGAGAAAATTGCTCAGGAGGGTGAAGAGTCAACGGAGAAGCACCAAAAAGCAGATCTGCCAAGAATTAGAAGAATCATTATGCTGTGAGGCTGTTTTGCTGCCAACAGAACTGGTGCTTTACAGAGTAAATGGGATAATGAAGGAGGATTACCTTCAAATTCTTCAAGATAACCTAAAATCATCAACCCGAAGGTTGGGTCTTGAGCGCAGGTGGGTGTTCCAACAGGACAATGACCCCAAACATCAACATCAAAAGTGGTAATAGAATGGCTAAATCAGGCTAGAATTAGGGTTTTAGAATGGCCTTCCCAAAGTCCTGACTTAAATCCTATTGAGAACATGTGGACAATGCTGAAGAAACAAGTCCATGTCAGAAAGCCATCTAATTTAACTGAACTGCACCAATTCTGTCAAGAGGAGTGGTCAAAGATTCAACGAGAAGCTTGCCAGAAGCTTGTGGATGGCTACCAAAAATGGCCATGGGACATGTAACCAAATATTAGCACTGAATGTGTATTTTCACTTTTTCTGTTAACCCATAATAAAGTCATGAAAGAACCAAGCCCACTCCTCTACTCCCTCTTCACCCATGACTGCAAGCCCGTGTGTGTAACTCCATCATCAAGTTTGCAGACGATCTGGTCTCATCTAGTGTTGCACAGTGTACCGGTACTAGAAAGGAACCGTTGAAAACAATATGGTTTAGAATTTTTTTTTATACCAGTTCTTTAAAAAAAGCACGCAATCAGAGCGCACTGTTCCGCTCCCTGTCAGGCTGCCTGCACGCATTGACTGCAGGGCTGCGCTCACACATGCAACAGGCAGCAGACACTCACAGCGAGTTATCAGGGGAGACGTGCCCTCATGTAGCAGACTGCTCATCCATATTACAGCCAAACACGAGTAGCCTTGGACTAGCTTAGCTCGGGTGACCAGACGTCCTCTTTTACCCGGATGCATTTTTTAGGTCTCGAAAAGTGGAAATGTCCAGGTAAAAGAGGACGTCTGCTTTGTCTTGTGTTGACCTTGCTTGGTGTTTGAAAAATTGTTGACTTGTTAGTTTGTCATAAACAAAGTTTAGCCGCTAGCAAGACATCTCGTTAGCAAGCTTGTTATAACATGCTTGGACATTTATGCTTGTATTAAGTGCTCTCGCGTTGGCTTCTTTGTAATGTTATTGTGAGCTACAGAGCTGCCAACTTTTCACAAAACCTTGTAGTGAGATTTTGTCAGGCGTGAACGTTATGGCTTACGAGGGGGTGTAAGTTACGCTACGTGCAGAGAATCAGGTTACAGATGCGTTGTTTAGTCGGCGAGGTTGGGGATGAACCAGCGCAGATACTTTTTAGCGTAAGAAATTGGATGTGTGGCGTGAGTGCATGAAAACATGCGAGAGAGTTGGCAGCCCTGTAGCTTTGTTGGCTAGCTTGACAACAATTTTGCTAACAGTCAAACACTTAATGAAAGTGCAACACAAGACAAAGCAAGATCACAAATAAGTTACTGGATAGTCAAGCAGAAATATATACATGCAAAATAACTTACAGAATGCAGAAGTGAGAATGCACACAAAATTGTACCAAATAATACACACTTGATGCAATAGGCTACAGGCTGGTGGAGCCTGAGTGGATCTTCATCTAATTATTTTTTATCTTTAGTTAAGGAAATATGAATGTGAGAATATCAAACTCTATATCTTACTGATGTTTTGTTAATTACTATCATAGATAAATCTTCCAGCTTCGTATTTGTGGTATCGTAAGTATCTGGTACCATAATATTTTGGCAGGTATAGTATCAAAGTCATAATTTTGGTATCGAGACAACCCTAGTCTCATCAGTAATAACGACGAGACAGCCTACAGGGAAGGTACAGCACCTGGCCAGGAAGTGCGCCGACAATAACCAGCTCTTTAACACCAGCAAAACCGAGGAGCTCATCGTGGAATTCAGGAAGATGAAAAGAAGCACGCATGTCCCCATCCACATCAACGGGATGGCCATCAAGCGTGTCTCCAGCTTCAAGTTCCTGGGGACCCACATCTCGGAGGACCTGTTCTTGAATACCAACACGTCCAGCCTCGTCAAGAAAGCTCACCAGCACCTCTTCTTTCTGAGGACACTGAAGAAAAATCATCGGTCTTCAACCACCCGGAGGAATTTCTACCGCTGAGTGATCGAGAGCATCCTTACTACCTGTGTCATAGTGTGGTACGGCAGCTTCTCTGTCGCGGAGCGCAAGAGACTGTAACGAGTGGTGAGAAAACGCATCACAGGCACTCCAATCCAAAGCATCGAGGCGGTCCAGTAGAAACGCTGTCTGCGTCGAGCATGCAGCATCTGCTCGCAGACTGTTCTCCCTCCTGCCTTCAGGCAGGCGCTTCAGCAGCTTACGGTCAAGGACCAGCCGTCTGAGGAACAGCTTTTTCCACCGAGCTGTTTTTGAACTCTTCCCCCCCTCTGATCCCCATTACACCACTATCTGCATTGATGACACTTTAGAACATTTCTTTGCACTCTCAAGTCAATATGCACTGAATATTTGCACCAGTTTAGCAACCACAGATAGTTTGTTTATATCTGCATCATTTAATGTAAATTTCATCTGTCGATAGTACCAGATCAGGCAATAATCTGTATATACTGTTTTTTATTATGATACTTCTGGTTCGATGCCAAACTGCATTTCGTTGCTCTGAACATGTACATGTGTAATGACAAAGTTGAATCTAAATCTAATACTTTTAGCTGAAAGTGATATCCGGAAAATATTCTTCTCATGGACTTTCAGATTTTAGAGAAGCATTTACCACTGAAAGGATTTTACACTGTGTGACATCTTATGTGTGACTTCAGATCTCCATTTCTAGTGAAGCATTTACCACACTCTGAGCAGCTAAAAGGTTTCGCCCCTGTGTGACATCTCACGTGTCTCTTTAGACTCCCACTTTCAGTGAAACAATTACCACACTCTGAGCAGCTGAAAGGTTTCTCCCCTGTGTGACATCTCATGTGTCTTTTCAGATTTCCACCTATACTGAAACATTTACCACACTGTAAGCAGCTGAAAGGTTTCTCCCCTGTGTGACATCTCCTGTGTGTCTTTAGATGTCCACTTGTGGTGAAATATTTACCACACTCTGAGCAGCTGAAAGGTTTCTCTGATTTGTGGGTTAGCATATGTCTCTTCAGCTTTTTAATGGAACCAAATGCTTTCTTACATTCAGAACAGATAAAATGTTTCTCGCTTGTTCTAGATCTTGAATCACTGACGGAACCATTATTATGAGAGTTTAAACCTGATTGAGGTTCTCTGGTTTCATTCCAATCATCACTGTCCTCAGTCTCAGGTTCAGAAGAGTCTCCAGTCTTCTCATCACTATCTGGTTCTGGAGGAAAATCTGGACCTGAGTTCCTGTCTGGTTCTGGCCCTCCACTGTCGTCTCCACCACCTTCTGTCACCATTTGTTCAGTTGGTCTATGATGAAGATGTGAGGACCAAACTTCCTCTATATCACCTTCACTCTTCACACAAGTGAACGAGACCTTTATGTCAGCCCCCTCCAGCCCTCGAAGCTGCTCCTCTTTAATGTGGGGGGGCTCTGGGTCCTCTGGTTCCTCTTTAATGTGGGGGGGCTCCGGGTTCTCCTGCTGCTCTTCTTTAGGCAGAAACAGCTGCTGAACATCTGTAGCTAATAAAAATTAAAAAAACACAACGTAGTTAATTTACGTCATTGATTTGGGAAATATTGTTTCTCATTTATAAAGATGTAAAAAAAACTAGAAAATGCATTTCCTGCTGGAAATGCGTTGTAATGCAAAAAGCTGAAAGCTGAACAGAATTTTTAAAAATTGCTGAAATTACAGAAAGTAAGGGAATTTGAATACATTTGCTGAAATTACAGATATTAGAAAAGATGAAATTAATTTAAAATTGCTGAAAATACAGATGGGAGAAGCTGCATGGAATTTCAATAGATTTGCTGAAAAAGCAGAAATGAACAGCTGAAATAAATGTGAAATATTGCAAAAAAATACAGAAATTAATATTAAAACATTGCTGTTACTAGAGGCATAAGAAAAGCTGAAATTATTTTAAAGAACTGCTGAACATACAGGAAGTGGGGAAGCTGAATTTCAATAGAATTTCTAAAAAATACAGAAGTTGCTGGAGCCTAAATGCATTAAAAAAATACAGAAATGACAAAAGCTGAGATGAATAAAAAGGTTTTAAATTGTTTGTAGTAATAGTAGTATTAGTTATAGTTGGAATTGTCGCATTAGTAGTACTAGCAGAAGAAGTCGGTTTAGTACTTAAACGTTTGTTTTTGTGTATTTATATAATACACATTTGATATTTTTTTTTACATTAGTAATTCATATTGCACATAATTTTACATTATTGTTGGAGATAAATACATTTATGTACCAAAAAATTAGAAGAGCCATTTGGGGGCCGAAAGAGCCGGCTCTTTTTTAATGAGCCGAGCCAAAAGAGCCGGTTCTCTAAAGAGAGGCGTAATTCCCATCACTACCGCGAAAACAGCAGCTGCGCCGTCTCCATTACGACCACACAGCCTCGTGCCAGCACTCACTCTCCCTCCCCTACGTAGTCTGGCAGACACACAGGCCTACGTGGAGAGAACATGGCGCTAGCTAACACGGCGCTAGCTAGCATAGCGCTAACATGACGCTATGCTAGCTAACATGGCGCTTGCGAGCATTTCACCACCAATAACAGATCCAAACGGCTGACAAGTGGCTAAAACAGCATGCCAGCACTCACTCTCCCTCCTATACGTATTTCAACGAAACCGCTTCATTCTGAGCTTCATGGTTAAGGTACAGATAATCATTGAGGCGAGTGTCTTTATCATGTTGGTCTGTTGACAGAAAGCGTAGCTGCGTCATGTGACTCCACTAATCAGGTAATAGAAGCAGCTGTGAGTCCCAGGCAGAGATACTGCAGCGTCTGTGCGAGTATCCACGGCAACGTTCATGGGTTCATTAACGAGCTGCTGAAAAGGGCAGAGACAGGACAGCGAGTTACACAGAATCCACACCTCAAACAAGTCTCCACTAGCGCAAAACTATAACAGCTATCTAAAAAATAAGACGTTTGTGAGAGACCCAAGACTCTGCCGAACGCAACGATGGAGTTTTTTATGTCTGTCCGGTAATAAATACGGCTCCTGTCGCAGTTTACAAAACGTGTACCTTCTGGATGTTTTGAAAAAAATGTCGCCAGATTTGTATTGGAGCCTATGGGGCTTTTGGCAGAGGTTGTGTCACTTTAACACTCCTTAAGCCAAAACGAAAGAACTCTTGGATTCCATGAACACCTAATCCAATCAGCACAACCATGCCATCATTATAAATCATAAAATAGTTGACACTTGTGTCAACATTTGAAAGTTGAAATGGTGTCTGTAGCTGAAAGATTGGCGAAGCTGAAGAATATGAAAGTTGATTAGAATTAGAAGTTTAAGAGAATTTGAAAAACAATTTCCATTGGAAAACCCTGTTAAAATATTAATGATTGTTGATTTATATAAATTCAAGCTTAAGAGCTAGAAAGCTGAAAAGTCATAGCACCCCTCCTGGGAAAGAGCTGAATATTTAAATGGTTTTAATAGCTGAAAGTGTGAAGGAGTTGAAAGGTGGCGCGGAAGAAATAGAAGAAGATGAAGATGTCGGAATAAAGATTCGAAGAACAATAGTTGGAATGCATTAAGCATTCCAACAATAAGTTGATTAAAGATTCGAGGAACAATACTTGGAATGCAAGCATTCCATGTATTGTTCCTCGAATCTTTAATCAACTTATTGCGATTCATGGTTGGTCACACGCTGGATCGATAAGTTGGTTTGTAAATGTCTTGCTCGCAGTCGTCTCCTCCACGCTGTGTTTTGTTGTTGTTCAGAGTTTCGCGCGGCTGCCGCTGCATACTGATGACGTCACAGACAGGCAGACTGAATCGAGTAACGTTTAACGTGTCTAAAGTGCAAACACGCATCCATACAGTTTTTGTGGTTAGATCCAATGTGCAGTTTCCAAGTATCGATAGATCGAAATCTATTATGTAACATTTCAAATCGATTTGTAATCGATATATGTTGTCCGGATGGCGATTTGCTGAGCACAGATCGATTCAGTTGGATCGCAGGAATATAAATCGATTAATCGATTCAGTGGATGAACCGTTACACCCCTAACCAAAACAAATAAATTATATGAAAATACATGTTTATTGTTGGAATGCTGCCTCAGTATTCTTTTTGGAATCTTTAGGTCAACATCTTCTATTTCTTCCGAGGAATCTTTTCAACTCGACTTTCAGCTATTAAAACCGTTTGAATATTAAAATATTCAGCTCCTGCAGGACGTTTCTGCTATGACCTTTCAGCTTTCGAGCTCTTATAATTGAATTTGTATTAATTAAAATCTAACTTTTTAACATGGTTTTATGGAGTTCATTTTCAAATCCTCTTGCGTCTGCGTTTCCTTGCGTCGCTCTGAAAACGCAAAAGCATAAACTAGGCTTTAGTCTGCTGCAGGGTGTGCAACTGGTAAGTTGGCTGTAGAAAGTCCCCTTGTCAATGCCAATGCTAATTCAACAAGCTCATGTCTTTTATTTTGTTTAACCGTTATTATGCCACGAGGTACTCTATGAAGACGCTAATAGTATGTTGTACTTGTATGTATGTTCGCCAGGGTGTCTAACGTCACGAAATAGACGGCCCATTGGAGCTGAATGTGGTCCGTATCCTGGTGGTAATTCAAAAAACACAACGCGAGAGAGAGCGTACAACTGCTACAACTGCATCACTGAATGTGTTTTTTTGTCTTTCTTTGAATGAGATTCTACAATGGAAATCCATAGGCTTTACGGACTAAAACCTCCAATGCACAGTAAATTCTAGCTGTAAAACCTTTAAGTATGTCAAAGAACCCAGTAAAAGCGCATGTATTTTTCAAAGATGTCCTGATTTACTTTGTAGAAATGTTAAGACTTTTGAGAATCTTTAATTAGTATGTTACAAAACGTCTAAATGTGTATTCATAAAAGTCTGGTAAGTTCAAAGTCCTCAAGACATGTATGTTAGTGTGGAATTAAGAAAAGTATTTTGATTGCAGCTCAAACATTGAGATAGTCATTTTGAATTTGAAATATAGGGCTTTTACTTTGGATAATTAACTGTATAAGGCAAAAGTATTTTTTTGTACAAGAGCAGTCATAATGGTCCTGAATATGCATACTTCAATCATTGTTAAGAATGATTAAATAGCTTTTATTCCGGTTACTTGCATAATACCGAAAATGTCCGCATATACGTGCACTAAAATTCAACTGTCTGCTGCAGTGTGGCCGGGTGCGAAAAGTGGTCAGATCCTTTTTCAGACTTACAGAATCCCGTTGTGTTCATTTCTAAAGTCTCGCATTAAGACATGCATTGTCGTTGTGATCTGCTGTGATCAATAAAGTTAGAAAAAACAAGTACGGCAAACCGACGGTCACGAAGATACTCATTTAACGTTACATGGGATTTGCATTTCACTAAATACCCAACTGAGATCGGTTCATGCCGTTCTGAAAAAGGATCCGACCACCGCAGGAACCTGCCACCGACCAACCTGCCGTTACGGCAAAGGGACCTTCCTCCGGCGTCACTCGTCTGCTGAGTCGACCACGGTATATATAATAACATTCTACCACTCTACTTGTGACAGTGAAGCACCTGTTTGGATTCATTTAGGTTGTAGCTTGTTGTACCTCACTATGGTATCAGAGAGGTATCGATACGGAGAGTCCGAGTCGTTCGATCACTTATAGATATTACATATACATATTGATTTGACTGATGTCAGTGTGCAGAGTGAGAGAACCAACCTGCTCTTTGTCTGCGGACCTCCGGGTTGGAAACATGGTGCAGACGATTCTTTAGTCGCTCGTTGTCCTCTTTTAATCTAGAAGTTTCCTCCTCGTACTCTGCTATCGTTCTTTCAAACAGCCCAAATATCTCTTCAGCAGCCGCAGTGAGTCGCTGCTTCACTAAACATCTCAGCATTTGGACATTAGACATCTTCACTGAATCACAGACACGCTTCCTCTGTTAAAAACTGTTTAATCTCGGACTAGCGCTGTGTTGCTAATTTGAGTCTGTTTCCAGCTAGCATGTTAAGCTAACTTCAATAGCGTAGCATGCTACCGGGAGATGATTCAGAGGGAAAATATCCAGAAAAAGTCCGTCGCAGGTTTATCCAGACGTCCAGGGACTCTGGTGGATCGTAGTGTTGTTACCTCCGACCCTCCTGCTTCGAAGCTCGTGTCGAAATATGAACCAGTGCAAGGCGAAGCAAATGTATCGATGATTGGTTCGTTCGCTGCTGATCACGTGATCAGTGACGTCCGAAGCTTCGGTCCGGCGCACAGTCACGTGACCGCTTCGATTTGATTCAATGGGCTCGAAACAAGGTTCGCGCTTGTCGGGTTGATACAGTCAAAGTCAGTGTTGTTGCAGTAGTAGTAGTAGTAGTAGTAGTAGTAGTAGTAGCAAAGAGCAAATGTACAATGGAACCTGTGGCAAAGAGAGGTCGCTCCGAGATATGGGAGCACTTCAATTTGATTTCCTTGATCAATTAATACGGTTGGCAATAGGCAGGCAAAGTGTCATTTGTATTGTGTAATTATGGACGTTTATTTTTATTGTGGAGACCACCAGATATTTGGCTGAGCCAAACATTCCACCAGAGGTGTCAAGTAACAAAGTACAAATACTTCGTTACTGTACTTAAGTAGAAATTTTGGGTATCTATACTTTACTGGAGTATTTATTTTTAGACGACTTTTTACTTCTACTCCTTACATTTTCACGCAAATATCTGTACTTTCTACTCCTTACATTTTAAAAACAGCCTCGTTACTTTTGGCTTGTCGCAGTTCAAAAACACAAAGACAAAAGAAACCTATCCAGATAAATTGCGCTATCCGGACATTGAATTTGATTGTGGTTGGATGAGAAGTATAAACATTTAGCATCCAGACACCCGATTGGTTTTCTCCGCGCTTCGCCGGCAGATCGGAGCGACACCGGGTGGGTGGTTTTGGAAAGTTGGTATTTATCGACATGGACCCTCCTCCTCTTCCTTGCGCAGATTCCATGTAACGTTAAACGAGTATCTTCATGACCGTGGGTTTGTCCTTAATGTTTTATTGAGAGTCAGGCACAAAACAGCGACTTGCAAGTAGTGCAGCGTATTAAATAAAGTGATGTGAGCAAGTCACTCTGTTTTGGTCTGGAGAGGCCTCAAACACCTCACCAACTACAAGCCAAAAAAACCCCACTCCATGAATGACCTCCGCCTGGCAGACGAGCTGAATGAGTTCTATTGCAGATTCGAAAGACAATGTCCTGATCCCATCCCCCACAGCTCCACCAACCTGCTGCAGTCCCTCTCCCCTCCCTCCCCCAGCCCATCAGGTGCTCACGCCTCTTCATCTATATCACCTTCCCCTCCCCGACCAGCAACGACCCTCTCTATTCTGGAGAGAGACGTTAACCGGCTCTTTAGAAGACTAAATCCCTGTAAGGCAGCCAGCCCGGACACAGTTTCTACTCACACCCTGAAGCACTGTGCTGACCAGCTGTCTCCGGTGTTCACTGACATCTTCAACACCCTGGATCCCTGGATACTCCCTATCCCCTCCCTATACTCCCTGGATACATGCCACGTACCAGCCTGCTTCAAGGCCTCCACCATCATCCCTGTCCCCAAGAAGCCCAGGATCACAGGACTCAATGACTACAGGCCCGTCGCCCTGACCTCTGTAGTCATGAAGTCTTTTGAACGGCTAGTCCTGACCCACCTGAAGTCCCTCACCGACCCCCTCCTGGACCCCCTGCAGTTCGCCTACAGAGTCAACAGGTCTGTGGACGACGCTGTTAACATGGCCCTCCACTACATCCTCCAGCATCTGGATTCCCCAGGAACCTACGCCAGGATCCTGTTTGTGGACTTCAGCTCTGCCTTCAACACCATCATCCCGTCTCTGCTGCAGGACAAACTCTCCCAGCACAGACACAACACAGTCAGTGTTAAAAGCAGAGGAGAAATCAACAAATGAAAATCTAAACAAGTGCTTAAAAAGTAAATCAAAGAAATTTACAGTGGCATCTTCTACTCCTCTGTATAAGCAGACTGCATGGGATCAAGTGCTTGCATACTTTTACTTAAAATTCCAGACCGTTTTTCAGAATGTTTCATTATAATTGATGTGAGAGCCACTGGTCTAAAATCGTTTTAGAATTTTGGGGGCAACTGGATTTGGGAACAGGGACAACAACAGTATCCTTCTAGAGCGTACATGCTGTGTCTGTAAAGATGTATCAAAAATGTAGTGGAATACAGGATATATATATATACTTCCTACTAGAGTAGCTTTGTTTCAATCAGGCTAAGACTGACATGCTCATCTTCCTCTCAAGGAATTCAAGGATTATCTTAATTTTCTATCTTTATATATATCAAGGTAGAGAAGAATTTATAGTTCGTCAGAGAGGGGAAAGCTAGAAGGAGGCCCATAGGCCAGACATAGTATAGACCCCAAGCATGCCAGTTTGAACGGAACGGATATGGAAACAGAAGAGTATTTGCCGAGCTAAGGCTTGCAAAGGCCATGGACAAGACAGCGTAAGGACACTAACAGTGGGACAAAAGTCTCATGAGTGTTTGTGTGCACTAGGAGACAGAATAGGAGGGGGTCGGGGGGCAGCGGGATAAAGTTGACCGACCAGATTGAGCTACCCACCCTAGAATCATCATACCAGAATGAGGGAGCATACCAAATAGTGGGAAAACATTAGGATAATAAGTTACACGTGTAGTGTTATGTGTACAATAAATTTGAAGCCGTGGTATCTTTGGCTAACTTTATTGTCTTAGTTGACATTAGCATAACACTGGGACTATGACTGTGCATTTCTTAAAAAATATTAAAAACAATATAAACAACAGAACTTACACAAGGTCGTCAATGAAAATGTATGCAGTAATACGTTGATAATATGACAGACTGCAGTAACACAAATACACATAAAGGTCAGTCAAACTTTAAGGCTGGGTAATGTTACAATATTAGTTTTTTACAGTCGCTAGGACACAGTTCTCAATACTTACGTCACTTTTTCAAAACGCTTCACACAGTTCTCCTAACCAACTTTCAACTCGCCACAGCAGTTCATTTCACATTCAAAATGGACTAAAACTACCAAAACACACTCAAATCAACTCATTCTTCCAGAATACTAGCAAAGGTTGACAGCCAACAAACACACTTTGTCACCCACAAAACTGACCTAAAAGACACTAACAACATGTAGCATGTTTTCTTGTGTAAAACAAGGACACATCTCTGTTTATAATTCCCTCTAATATATGTTACTGGAATTAATCAGACATGATGCAGAATGCTTCAATATATTTTATGTCTTTTATTCATTTTTATGCACTGAGTAATTCCAAAATACAAGAATTTGTATACACACCATCCACTGATACAGATCGGTGACTCCACGGGAGTGGTGAATCAGGAATCAGGAAACATTTATTGCCAAAATATGTCAAACATACAAGGAATTTGTCTTGGCGGTGGGTGCGTGACAGTAGACACAAAACAGACAATAGACAACAAGACAGCAGTGCACAAGTAATAAAATAAAATGCTAATGCAATGGGTTAGTAGAATAAGGCTATGGGTTAGTATAAAATAAGAGAATAAAGTTAGTTAAAAATTTAAAATATTTAAAAAGTTAAAAAATATTAAAAATAAAGTGCACTATCTACTACTAAGTGACGACAAAGTGACAAATGAAAAATTACAGTTAAAGTGACATGTGCAGTATGAGTGACCGGTGGAATGTTATAGTTAGTCAGTGGGGGACCGGGCTCTGTTGATGAGCCCGACTGCCGACGGGAAGAAACTGTTCGTGTGGCGGGAGGTCTTAGTCCTGATGGACCTCAGCCTCCTGCCAGATGGAAGGGGCACAAACAGTTTTTGTCCGGGGTGAGTGGGGTCGGCTACGATCTTTTTAGCTCGCTTCAGAGACCTGGAAGCGAACACGTCCTGCAGGGACGGCAGATTACAGCCGATCACCCTCTCTGCAGAGCGGATGACACGCTGCAGCCTGCCCTTGTCCTTGGCTGTGGCTGCAGCGTACCAGACGGTGATGGAGGAGCAGAGGATGGACTCAATGATGGCCGTGTAAAAGTGGACCATCATCGTCTTTGGCAGGTTGAATTTCTTCAGCTGCCTCAGGAAGAACAACCTCTGCTGAGCCTTCTTGGTGATGGAGCTGATGTTCAGCTCCCACTTGAGGTCCTGGGTGATGATGGAGCCCAGGAAACGGAAGGAATCCACAATAGTGACGGGGGAGTCACACAGGGTGATGGGGGAGGGTGGGGTGTCTTCAGAGCGTTGAGCTCCAGGTTGTTCTGACTGCACCAAGACACCAGATGGTCAGACTCCCACCTGTAGGCGCACTCATCCCACATGCCACATTGTCCCATAGAATTATACATGTTGGCTGATTTCTTCTCTCTGCATCCCTTTCCTCACCTTGCACAACCCTTCAATAGAGATCATGCAGGAACGCAAGGAGACGTTCAGTGTTGTGTGGTCCAATTAGTGGTTTGTGTAAAAGCAGTCCATCAGTGGCTATTGCTGCGCACATTGTGATGTTGGCACCCCTCTGGCCCGGGACATCCACTGTGGCTCTCTTCCCAATCACATTCCTTCCTCGTCGCCGTGTTTTGGCAGTTGAAACCTGCGTCATCCACAAAGACGAAAATATGGGGTGATTGCCTGCCTTCAATCTCCATGACTCTCTAAAATAAATCCACAAGGCAACATAAGCTGTTCCAGTACTAAGTCCAAACACTGGTGGTGGTGGTGAAGAAGGGAGCTAATGAAAACCCAGGACGAGTGAAGAATGCCTGATAGCTGCTGGAGGTGCCTGGTGTGGAGGAGGGTCGCATCCGCTTACGCACTGAAATGACACCTGACAGCAACACAGAGAGAACCCCTTAAAAAGGTTTGACAGCAACTATGTAATTGGTTTGATTGGTTCATTTTGAGTGAAACATTTACAACTGAGCAGCTGAAAGGTTGATTTGTGGGCTTTCTTGTGTCTCTTCAGCTTTTTAATGCAACCAAATGTTTTCTTACATTCAGAACAGATCAGAGGTTTCTCACTTCGTTCTACATCTTGAATCACTGACGGAGTTTAAACCTGAGGTTCTCTGTTCTCATTCAAATCATCACTGTCCTCAGTGTCAGAAGAGCCTCCAGGCTTCTCATCAGTATCTGATAACGAGGGACCATCCGTAACCGAGTTCCTGTCTGGTTCTGGTCCTCCACAGTCCGGTCCATCACCTTCTGTCTCCATCTGTTCAGTTTGTCTCTGATGAAGCTGAGACGACTGAACTTCATGTGGGTAGGGCTCTGGGTCCTTCTGCTGCTTTTCTTTAAGCACAAACAGCTGCTAGTGGTCTGTAGATAATAATAAAATACAAAGCACATATTATTATTCCATATTCAACTCAAATTTTCACCCCATTCACCCAGCTATTTTATGCCTTTGGCATTGGGATACAGACGTTTATCTCAGAGATGTTAAAACAAGTCAAGTTTGACCCCATGAATTTGGGTAATATTGTGTAACAATCATCAAAATAGAGCTAGACAAATACAATACGCAGTTTACTGCCTGAATATTGTGATCCGTCTGATTCTGATCACATGTTGATAACGTAGCGGATAACCTTGGGAGTGAGACGTTGGGGGTGAAGCTACGGCTGACGGGGGGGGGGGGTGTAAGTTACGCTACGTGCAGCGAATTGGGTTATAGATGCGCCGTTTATATGAACCAGCGCAGATTTATTTTTGCACAATGAATTGGATGTGGGGCGTGAGTGCGTGTGGAAACACGCGTGTCACACGGGGAAACCGTGAGAGTTGGCAGCCCTGTAGCTTTGTTGGCTAGCTTGACAACAACTTTCCTAACACAGTCAAACATCAAGCAACACAAGACAAAGCAAGACCCCAAATAAGTTCCTGAATAGTCCAGCAGAAATATATACCGTATTTTCCGCACGATTAGGCGCACCTAAACGCCTTCAATCGTTTCAAAAGCTGATCATGCGCCTAATAATACAATGCGCCTTGTATATGGCCCAGTATTAAAACGCATACAGGTCTCAGTTACGGTAAGCAGCCGCGACTCGATTTTCTCCCGTAATAGTGCGCAGTGCATGCTGGGATACCGGGAAACTGGCGTTTCATTTCCATTTTAATATTTTTGTAAATACCCTGAAATGGCTCCTACCAAAAGACACGCGTACAACGCTGAGTTTAAACTCAAGGCGATAAGCCACGCACAAGAACACGGCAATAGAGCAGCAGCGAGAGAATTTAATATCAATGAATCAATGGTGAGGAAGTGGAGGAAGTATGAGGATGAGCTCCGCCAAGTAAAGAAGACAACACAGAGTTTCCGCGGGAACAAAGCGAGATGGCCACAGTTAGAGGACAAAGTTGAACAGTGGGTTGCTGAACAAAGAGCAGCAAGCAGAAGTGTTAGTACAGTCACAATTCGTATGAAGGCAATAGCGCTAGCTCGCGAACATAACATCAGTGAATTCAGAGGCGGTCCTTCTTGGTGCTTCCGTTTTATGAAACGACGTCATCTCTCCATCCGTACGCGCACTACTGTGTCACAACAACTACCAGCTGATTATCAGGAAAAGTTGGCCACTTTCCGCACATACTGCAGAAACAAGATAACTGAAAAAAAGATCCAGCCAGAGCATATCATCAATATGGACGAGGTTCCACTCACCTTCGATATCCCTGTAAACCGCACTGTGGATAAAACAGGAGCACGTACGGTGAATATTCGCACCACAGGGAATGAGAAAACGTCCTTCACTGTAGTTCTCGCCTGCCAGGCTAATGGCCACAAACTTCCACCCATGGTTATTTTCAAGAGGAAGACCTTGCCGAAAGAAAACTTTCCAGCTGGCATTGTCATAAAAGCTAACTCGAAGGGATGGATGGATGAAGAAAAGATGAGTGAGTGGTTGAGAGAAATTTATGTGAAGAGACCGGGTGGTTTTTTTCACACAGCTCCGTCCCTATTGATCTATGACTCCATGCGCGCACATATCACCGAGCATGTCAAAAAACAAGTGAAGCACACTAATTCAGTGCTCGCCGTCATTCCGGGTGGATTAACAAAAGAACTCCAGCCGCTCGATGTTGGCGTCAACAGAGCATTCAAAGCTCGACTGCGAACTGCGTGGGAGCAGTGGATGACCGAAGGCGAACACACGTTCACCAAGACGGGGAGACAGCGCCGGACGACATATGCTAATATCTGCAAGTGGATAGTAAATGCCTGGGCTGGTATATCAGTCACAACTGTGGTCCGAGCTTTTAGGAAGGCAGGAATTGTCACCGAACTGCCAGACAACAGCAGCGACACTGACTCGGTTAATGATGACTTTGATAAGACGGAGCCAGGCGTTTTGGATGCCGCAATAGCCCAGCTGTTCAATTCGGACACGGAAGAAGAAGTTTTCGAGGGATTTTAGATAAGGAACTGAGAAAGTGAGCTTTACGTTTACAGAGTTATTATTGTTCTTGTTGCTTGTTGCTTTGTTGTTTTGTTTTCTTGTTAATAAAGTTTGACTGACCTATCTGACTGCTAATCATTAGATGCATAACGCATCCATCAGTCAGGCACACACGAGGCACACCACAGGACCAAAATATTTTAAGTATATTTATTGAAATCACAAATTGGCGCTAATCGTTGATAAGCACAAGATTTATTTGCACTTAATTAATTAAAAACGAGTAAAACGCAGGAAAAGTGAAATGCGCTCCACTTCTGCTAAGACGCTGTCACCTGTTTGGTTCAGCGCTGTTGTGTCTGTGTGAACACAGATCCTTTCTGCAGTGAGGATGTCACACACTCTCTCTCTCTCTGTGCGTGACTAGCGTTCTATTGTCAGGAAATATCACAGAGTGTGGCATCGTTTCATACAGCGATGATCTTTGTAAGAGTCAAAATCTCTGCGGAAACAGCCCAAGCAGCTAAAGCTCTAAGTTACAGTGTGATCGTTATTTTAACACTGTGATTTCCAGCGGAATTATTTCTTACATATCGTGTTAAGGAATATAAGTTAAGATTTATCTGAGAGCCAGATGCAGTCGTCAAAAGAGCCACATGTGACTCGCGAGCCATAAGTCCCCGACCCCTGATCTAATGGATGCGTTATGCATCTAATGGATGCATAACGCACCGTAACTCCAGCCTCTACTTTAGCGCCTTATGCGAAGCGTTTTATTAAAGGTGCGCCTTATGATGCGATGCGCCTTATATATGTAAAAATAATTAAAATACGTCATTTATTGAAGGTGCGCCTTTTGATGCGGTGCGTCTTTTCGTGCGCAAAATACGGTACATGCAAAATAACCTACAATTTCACTCATGTGGGCCTATATGATCATGAGGTCAGAATGCACACAAAATTGTACCAAATAATATACACTTGATGCAATAGGCTACATGCTTTTGAAGCCTGACGGTGGATCTTCACCTAATCCTTTTTATTTTTAGTTAAGGAAATATGAATGTGAGAATATCAAACTATGCAAGTAAATAAAGCATTGTTCATCCCACAGACAGTCAAACAAATATCAGGTAAAAAAAGGAACCTTACAGATGTTTTATTTATTACTATCATAAAGATATTCCATTATCCTATTTGTGGTATCGTAAGTATCGGGTACCTTAATATTTTGGCTGTTATAGTATCAAAGTTATAATTTTGGTACCGTGACAACCCTAATACACATGATATATATATATATATATATATATATATATATACATATAGATATAATTTTTTTTAATTACGTGGGCCTTTACACAAAATAGAAACATGAATTATAAAAATAATTTATTCACTCACGCAAAATACAAAATAAAATCGATTAATGTCCTTCATATTATTTTCAGCGCCTGTGCTCGCTGAGCAATGTAAAATGTTTAATCCAAAAAGATATGTTTTGTTATAAAAATATATACTTAGCTGAAAATGCAGATTAACAGACAATGCATATTGAAATAACAGGATTTAGGTTGGAGGTTTTTCTACCAACATGTTTCCTAGAAAAAAGTCAATCCATGAACACATTAAAGGCCTTTTGGTATTTACAGTGTATCTGCACGGTATACACAATTCTGCACCGTAACAAGCAGCAGCATTTACACCAGATGGTTCACGAAAATCTATGCAGTAATACGTTGATAATATGAACGCCTGCAGCAACTGCAAATGGAACATAAAAATCAGTCAAACTTGTATTTCAACAGTAAACATGATGATATAAGGCTGGGTAATGTTACAATATTAACAGTAGGCAACACAACTTAGATTACACCCTTCCAGTGAATAACCTTACTATAGTTTGGGGTTTGTGTGTGTGACCCTGTGACTACTGGAGTTGTGTTTTCAATATGAATTTACTGACCATCTGCCAGAACAGACTTCAATTGATTTTATTTTAAGGCCCAAATTCAGAAATTCGACTCAAAGGGCTTCACAGTCGGTTCACATGCAACATCCTCGGTCCGAAAACCCTCACATCAGCAGAGAAAAAGATTCAGTCAATGAGACTGTGGATCACAGATACAAAGACACCTTGAGTGAAACGTTAACCACAATCTAAGCAGCTGATAGGTGAAATCTTATGTGTGTCTTCAGATCTCCAATTTCAGTGAAACGTTTCCCACACTCCAAGCAGCTGAAAGGTTTCTCCCGTGTGTGAAATCTCATGTGTGTCTTCAGATCTCCAATGTCAGTGAAACGTTTCCCACACTGCAAGCAGCTGAAAGGTTTCTCCCGTGTGTGAAATCTCATGTGTGTCTTCAGATCTCCAATTTCAGTGAAACGTTTTCCACACTGAGAGCAGCTGAACGGTTTCTCCCCTGTGTGACTTCTCATGTGTGTCTTCAGATCTCCAATTTCAGTGAAACCTTTTCCACACTGTGAGCAGCTGAAAGGTTTCTCTGATGTGTGGGTCATCATGTGTCTCGTCAGCTTTTTAATGCAACCAAATGTTTTTTTACACTCAGAACAGATCAAAGGTTTCTCACTTGTTCTACATCTTGAATCACTGACAGAAGCTTCACCATTATTATGAGAGTTAAAAACAGACTGAGGTTCTCTGGTCTTATTCCAATCATCACTGTCATCAGTCTCAGAAGAGTCTCCAGTCTCAGTTTCAGAAGAGTCTCCAGTCTTCTCATCAGTATCTGGTTCTGAAGGAGCATCCGTACCCGTGTTCCTGTCTGTTTCTGGTCCTCTACAGTCCTCTCTGTCCCCTGATGTCTCCATCTGTTCAGTTGGTCTCTGATAAAGCTGAGAGGACTGAGTTTCATCTTCATCATTGTCACGCTTCACAGGAGTGAATGAGACCTTCATATCAGCCTCCTTCAGCCCTTGCAGCTCTGGGTCCTCCTGTTCCTCTTTAATCTGGGGGCGCTCTGAGCCCTTCTGCTGCTTTTCTTTAAGCACAAACAGCTGCTGGAGGTCTGTGGAAAATAATAAAATACAAAAACACACAATATAGTGATTTATCTAAAATATGAATTACCGTCCACTCAGCTAGTTCATTCTTTTATGCCTTGACCTGGGCATTACGGTACAGTACCATACATGAGCTAATTTCCTTCAAAATCCATCCTTCACGAGACTACTTCTGGTCAAATTCGGGTTAGAAGCAAAAGGACACTATGAATAGTAACACAGTAACTCCACTTAAGGCAGAGAGTACACCTCCCCAAGGTGTCGCTCAGTGATAACCAGGACATTCTGATGTACCATTCCAAAATGAAAGCCTCTCAAAATACCATACACGAGCCAATTTCCTTCAAAGTCCTACACAGGACTACTTTTGGTCAATTTCAGGTTAGAATTAAGAGGAAACTATAAACAATTACACAGGAATTCCACTTAAGGCAGAGAGTACACATCCCCAAGGTGTCACTTAGTACATCAGAATGTCCTGGTTATCCCTATTACAAAATGAAAGCCTCTCAAAATACCATACATGAGCCAAAAAAATCGATCACAAGACTACATCTGGTCAATTTCAGATTAGATTTAAAAGGAATAAATCAATAGTTACACAGTATTTCCACTTCAGGCAGATAGTACACATCCCCAAGGAGTGACTGTGATAACCAGGACATACTGGTATACCAATTTACAAATTAAAGCCTCTCAAAATGACACCTTTGTTTTTTACTGGATACTAGAAAATGTGACTTCCGGTTACCAGTATGTGGCGCTTTGACTTGATTCAACTTTACAGTCGCATCAAACATGTGTAAATTGGAAGGAATCCGATGATGTGGGGTAAAGTTAATGATTTTGTTGTTCTTGGCGAAGGAACAGCTTTGCCGATGCACCCTCTCGCCACCGATTATCGGATTCTTATAATATTCACAGTGAAGCATTATCAAGGTCCTACCTCTCTGCTAGGAAATTTTGAGAGGGATCAGATTAACTTTTGAGGAGCATAACCTGTGAGGAGCAGGGTGTAAAAAAAACAAAAAACATTCATCTTCCTGTTGTCACCAGGTGGCGCTATGACTAAGGTAAAAATTATCATATGGTTGTCTACAGGATGAGAAGTTCATGCTATATGAGAAATATGGAGCAGATTAGATAAAGTATGGTTGAGTTAAAACAACTTCAATTGTTCGAGGGTTGCCGAGGGCCCTCCACTCTGCGTCGGGCCTAACAATGCACCCAAACTGTTACATTATTGAAGAAAGTACAGCCTCCCGTACCTTATTGCTTTCCATTTCCTCATTATGTCTCTGACAATTCTTTTCTTACATGTAGATGAAGTCACTATTTCTGAGTGCTTCCCATTCCTCCAGGTTCAGTATCCATTGACGCATTAGCCTTCACTGCTCTTGCTGTGTACTGACATAATACTTATGGTAGAACCAAATGTTAAACCATATGGCTATAATTTTTTTAAACCATATAGGGAGTGCTGGTGTTATACACCTCATTACAAGTTGGGGGGGTAGAAACCAGAATCCGAAACATTTATTAGACAGGTATGTTGGACATACAAGGAAATTGTCATGGTGGGTGGTTCATACGTGGAATATATTACTTTCAGTAATATTCAGTTAAAAGCCATTAACTCTTACCTACATTTCTGAGCGCTAATATTATTTTGGCACCTCTGCTTGGCATGAGAGTGAAAATATTGAATATTATTGTAGTACATATTTGCCCATTTCCCTTGGTGGACTTTCATTGAGACCAATGTCCAGCTCGACTCACTCGACTTGAAATTGTAGTGGTTGAATGGACCCGTATGACAAAGTGCAAAAAGCTCTTACGGTGTTTTGTGAGGAAAATCAGAAGTTGACGCGGAAACTGTAGCCAGCCTCACGATGGAACCGGCGAGTAACATTGCGTGTCACAGAGGGAAAGGATTTCCCTAGCTTCAAGGACTTTGCCAAGTCCTGAAACGGCAATCCAGTCACCTCTTTCCTCGCTCTCCATTCAGCTGATTCCAGTCGAGGCAAGTAGAGAACAAGGGTAAGCAAAAGAAACAAAGCCAGCACCTTCAACGTAGTATGTACTGTTGAAAACAGTAAGCAATAAAAGAAAAGGTCAAGGCCCCTTGCATGCTATGTCAGGGTATCAGTCACCAGCTTTGCGAATGTCCAGACTTCATGCAAAGAAGTGACTGGAATACTGGAATACAGACGGACGTATGTTTAACCCCCGGTCACAGCGCAAAGGAGTACCAGCATCGCCACATGACTCATGCAAAGAACAACATCCTCATGTCTTCACGATGACGGCTATGGAAATGCTGAAAACAAAGAATGGACAAATAGGGAAATGTCAATGCAACACAGGGAAACGGAACAAACATCTGGTCTGTCCCTCAGTGTCACCATCCAAGGTCAGTCAGAAAACACCTCAATGATAGTGCCAGTGTGGGTGTGGAGCGACAATAATCCATCCAGAGCTCCAACAGGGGACCCCAAACTTCCCTTTTCCTGGGCCACATCTACCAGCTCTGACTGGAGGATTCAAAGGCGTTCCCAGGCCAGTGCAAAGACCATACGTGAAGGTAGGAACGAATATTGACCAGTAAATCGAGAGCTTTGCCTTCCGGCTCAGCTCTCTTTTTGTCACAACGGTGCGGCAAAGCGAGTGCAATACCCACTCCGCTGCTCCGATTCTCCGGCCAAACTCGCACTCCATCTTCCCCTCACTCGTGAACAAGCCCCCGAGGTACTTGAACTCCTTCATTTGGGGTAAGGACACATTCCCTACCTGGAGTAGGCAATCTATCGGTTTCCTGCTGAGAACCATGGCCTCAGATTTAGAGGTGCTGATCCTCATCCCGACCGCTTCACACTGCGAAACGCTCCAGTGAGTTGGAGGTCACAGACAGAAGATGCCATCAGGACCACATCATCTGCAAAAAGCATCAATGAGATCCGCAGCCCCCCGACTACGCCTCAATATCCTGTCTATGAAGACCACAAACAATATTGGTGACAAGACGCAGCCCTGGCGAACGCCAACCCCCATCGGAAACGCCTTCGACTTACTGCCGAGCACCCGAACACAGCTCTCGCTTTGGGCGTACAAGGATTTGATGGCCCCAAGCAAGGACCCCCTCACCCCGTACTCCCCCAGCACCTCTCACAGTTTCTCTCGGGGTACCCGGTCACACGCTTTTTCCAAGTGCACAAAACACATGATGGACACTGGATGAGCATACTGCCAAGCCCCATCCATGATCATGGAAAGAGTAAAGAGCTGGTCCGTCGTTCCACGACCAGGACGAAAACTGCATTGTTCCTCTTCAATCCTTGGTTCGACTATCGGCCGAACCCTCCTTTCCAGCACCTTGGAGTAGACTTTACCCGGGAGGCTGAGTAGTGTGATACCCCTGTAATTGGTACACACTCGCTGGTCCCCCTTTTTGAAGAGGGGTACCACCACCCTGGTCTGCCACTCTTTCGGAACTCTCCCAGACTTCCACGCAATGTTACATTACATTCCAGGTCATTTAGCAGACGCTTTTATCCAAAGTGGCTTTTTCACATTTGCCTGGGGAGCAATTAGGGGTTAGGTGTCTTGCTCACGGACACTTCGACATGGAACATGGGGCAGCCTGGACTCGAACCACCAATCTTGTGCTTCTCAGCACACCTTCTCTAACCCCTGCGACACGACGACCCCCCATGTTGAAGAGGCGTGTCATCCAAGACAGCCCCCCAACACCCATTGCTTTTAGCATCTCTGGACAGATCTCATCAATCCCCGGGGCTTTGCCACTGCGGAGTTGTTTGACTACCTCAGTGACCTCCACCAGGCCAATTGACGATGATCCCTCCTCCGCCTCCAGCTCCGCCTCTACCAAAGAGGGCGTAGTAGTTGGATTTAGGAGTTCCTCAAAGTGTTCCTTCCACCGCCCGATAACCTCCTCAGTCGCGGTCAACAGGGTCCCATCCTTACTGTACACAGCTTGGATGTGTACAGTAAGGATGGTTTCCCCCTCCTGAGGTGCCAGATGGTCTTCCAGAAGCACTTTGGTGCCAACCGAAAGTCCTTCTCCATAGTTACCCCAAACTCCTCCCATACTCGCTGCTTTGCCTCCATCACGGCAGAGGCTGCTGCCCTTCGAGCCTGTCGGTACACTGCAACTGCCTCCGGAGTCCCACCGGATATCATAACCCGGAAGGCCTCCTTCTTCAGTCGGACGGCTTCCCTGACCACCGGTGTCCACCACGGGGTTCGAGGGTTACCGCCCCTTGATGCACCTAAGACCTTGAGGCCACAACTCACTGCCGCAGCTTCAGCAATGGAGGTTTTGAACATACACCACTCTCGTTCAATGTCCCCTACCTCCACAGGAATGTGAGAGAAGCTCCGCCGGAGGTGTGAGTTGAAAATCTTTTGGACCGAGGCCTCCTCCAGACGTTCCCAGTTCACCCTCACTACACGCTTGGGTTTACCGGGTCTGTCCCGAGTCTTCCCCCATCCTCTGACCCAGCTCACAACCAGATGGTGATCAGTTGACAGCTCTGCCCCTGTCTTTACCCGAGTGTCCAGAACATGCAGCCTCAGATCAGACGATACGATTACAAAATCGATCATTGATCTTTGACCTAGGGTGCTCTGGTACCACGTACACTTATGAACATCCTTATGCTCGAACATGGTGTTTGTTATTGACAATCCGTGACTGGCACAGAAGTCCAGTAACAAACACCCGCTCGGGTTCAGATCAGGGAGGCCATTCCTCCCAATCACGCCTCTCCAGTTATCTCCATCGTCGCCCACGTGCGCATTGAAGTACACCAGTAGGACTATGGAGTCCCCTACTGGAGCCCCATGCAGGACTCCATTCAGGCTCTCCAAAAAGGCTGAATACTCTGAGCTGCTGTTTGTGCATATGCGGCTGAAAAATGAAGGAGACATTCACTGTGTTCTTCTAAAAAGCGCACGTCTCACGGCTCAAGGTCACAACTATTCCAAGGTTTGAACTTGCCCCAGCAGTTTTCTCAGTCACAGTGAGCAATATGCTCAAAGAGGAGTTTGACTACTGTAATGTAGAAGAGTTATTTTGGACCGATTCAAAGGTTGTATTAGGCTACATTAATAATGATGCTTGCCGTTTCCACACCTTTGTAGCAAATCTGTCACGCCTCAGACCCGAAGCAATGGTTTAGGAAAAACAGTAAATGAGTTGCTTTCTTCTAATTGGTTCACTCGCCCGAGCTTTCTGTGGAAAAGGGAACTAGAAATGCCAACAGAGGTGCTTTTGGAGCTACTTGTTAGTGATCCAGGAGTCAGAAAGGCTCAGACAATCCAGACAAAGACCATTGACCTTGTAGGCAGACTGAAGAAGTTTTCATGCTGGTCTCGGACCATCAGGGTAGTGGCGCGTCTCTTGCGGTGTGCTAGAAAGGTCAAATCATGAGACCTTTCAACAGTTAGCGAAAGACAAAGTGCAGAGCGACTTCATCAAGGACATACGGAGAAGAGATAAAGCTACTAAAATCAGGTTCCAGGACACAAGAAGCTGTATCACCATGATGCTTTTCCTGGAGAGGATGTGCTCAAGGTGGGAGGTAGGCTTAGTTGCTTATCTTTCCCTAACACCTCCAGGACATCACATGACAAATCTAATCATCGCCCACGATCATGAAACAGTGAAACATTAGGGCAAAGGCTTCACCATCAATGAAATTAGGTCCAATGTCTATTGGATATGTGGACTGAGCAGAGCAGTCACAACATACATCATTACTGTGTGATATGTCGAAGGCTGAGAAGGCCAGTTGAAAGCCAAAGGATGAGTGACCTGCCTGTTGAACATACCAGACCTACCCCACCGTTCACTTACTGTGGGATGGACTGTTTTGGTCCCATTTGGACAAAACAAGGGAGAAGACAAGAAAAAAGGTATGGATTGATTTTTACCTGCTTCTGCTCAAGAGCAGTGTTACTTTTGGCAGCTATTTTTGTCTTAGTCTTTAGACAAAAATGCATATTAGTTTTAGTCACATTTAGTCATTTTAATCCATCTTAGTTTCAGTCTAGTTTTCATCACATTTAATCTACAACTTGTCTACAACTGCATACTAGTCTAGCTTGCAGTACTTGGTTGTCCATTAGATGTCCCTCCTAGGACAGGTCTATAGCAGGTCGGCAAGCTTTTTGACTTCCGGGCCACAATGGGTTGTAAAATTTGACGGAGGAGCCGGGCCAAGAACTAATGGTTGAAGTGTTTGTGTGAGCTAATATAAATGACATGTGAAAAATCATTGCATGAAAGGATTTGTATTTTAACAAATAGCAAAGCATTTAAACAGTCTAAACAGTCTTTTCTTTCTCTTTGTCTCTTTGTTTATTTTTTGCTTTCATGACCAGTTCTTCTCTCTTGTGTCCTGCGGGTTTTCCTCCACCTGCTCTGTGCCGCCACATCCTTCACCTGCACTGCTCAGTTCTATCAAAAGGATCCACTTGTCACGTGTGTGCGTGCCTCTATGTTGCTTAGTAACGAACGTACGGTGGCCGAGACGGTTTAACAGCGTCTTCTCACGATGTGGCGTGTGAACTATAGTGGAAATGCGTGTGTCTCACGGTCAATGCGTGAGGCTTCAGAACCTGCTACGAGTTTATTATGTTAGACGTGTTTGCCTGCCATCGCCAGAGAACAGAGCAGAAAGGTCCGACAGTCTGTTAAACGGGTCTTTATGTTTCTCTGAAGCACCGCGGCTTCAGCCTGCTAACAGTCAGTTAAACCGAGACAGCTGAGCTGAACTAGGGAAGCGCACATTCAAGATAGTGCAAAAGAACCACCGCTGCACCAATGCGAGCGTTCTGGGTTCGTGGATGACGTCATCATGACACATTAATAACCGCGTACGGGGCCGTACTTTGCCTGTCTGTTGCCTGTCAGCTGCGTAAGAATTTAGGGGGGAAAAGTATTGTGACTTCGTCAACCACCAACATGTTCGTCTCGTCTCGTTAACGCAAGTTAGAATAGATTTAGTCATAGTTTTTATTTTTTAAGATCGGTTTTCGTCACGTCCTAGTCATGGAAAAAAAGGTTGTTAACGAACATTTTTCGTCGACGAAATTAACACTGCTCTAAAGCCATTCATATTGAAATGTTGGAGGACTTGTCCACAGACAAATTCATTAATGGACAGATGCTTTAAGAGGTGCTGTGCGACAAATTCAATGTGACCAACGCACTAAATTTATGGGTGCAAAAAATGAACTGAATGCAGCATTGCAAGAGTTGGACATGAGTAGACTGAATGTATTTCTCACACAGCGTGGTTACATGGATTCGAATAACTGGCTTAGTCGGACTGAAATCGAATTATCCGTTTCATGTAAACGCCTTTGTCCGACTATGTGCGGTCCGACTACGATCCGATTAACACCCCTGGATAACTCGATCCGATCCAGTTGATAGTGCGACTATTGCGGCATGTAACGGTGAATCAGATAAGGAACTGGACTTTGCGCCTTTGCGCATGCTTGAGATCCCGACGGCGTCTTGACAGATAAGCCATCCAGGGGCTGTGTGGGAAAGGCAAATCAGAATTGTCAGTGTTCTCAATGGCACTCTCTCCTGGTAGGCTAAATGATGTGTCATGCGCACCTTCTTTAATGAAACCACGGCTATCGTGAACAGTCGTCCATTCACAGTTGATGCTTTGGACAGGCACAACAGTTTGGAGCCACTTACTCCTAACCACCTGATCACAATGAAATCCACCACAGCCTTGCCTCCACCTGGCAAGTCTGAAAGAGAGGATCTTTATGGACGAAGGAGATGGGGTCATGTGCAGTACCTGACAGAGCAGTTTTGGAGTAGATGGAAAAAAGTACCTCCACAACATCACAACAAGACAGTGCTGGCATAGCGCTGAAAGGAACTTGCATATTGTGATATTGTACTGGATGCTGAGGACACTACCACGAAGCAAATTGAGACTTGGGACAGTCTCAGAAGTCATTCAAGGCAAAGATGGACTTGTGAGACGGGCAACAATCTTGTTTGGAGAGAAGGAACTGAACCACAAAGAAGCGTGCATCAACAGGCCTGCCCTGGAGCGCCCTGTCCAGAAATTAGTTTTACTGCTAGAAGCTGTTTAAACATTGTGCAGTTAAGAAATGTGTTATAGTTGTCTATGTAGTTTAGCCTATAGATTTGAAGGGATATTCTGTCATTTCAAATTGAGTGTTTTAATGTTTCCATTTTGTAAAAACACTAATTTGAGTGTAAATGACCCCATAGAACTTCCGGAAAAGGAATGACATTTATTTTTAAAGGTAAAAAGGGTGTTTTATATGCAAATGTACGGACCTTGTTATGGACAGATTTATTCTTGAAATTGTAGTACTTTTAATGGACCAGTATGACAAAGGGCAAAAAGCTCTTACGGTGTTGTTTAAAAAGGTTGTTTGGAAGGAGGAAAATGAAGCAGTAATTTCACCAGCAGCAAGGTGCACGTCTTTTCATTTACGGGATCCGTTACAATTAAAGCACGTTGGCATCATTTAGGTTATAGCTTGTTGTACCTCACTACGGTATCAGAGAGGTATCGATCCGGGGAGTCCGAGTCTTCGATCACTCGCCAACTTCACCGAACTAAAGCTGACCCATATTGATTTGACTGATGTCAGTGTGAAGAGTGAGAGAACCAACCTGCTCTTTGTATGCGGACCTCCGGGTTCAAAACAGCGTGCAGACGTTTCTTTAGTCGCTCGTTGTCCTCTTTTAATCTAGAAGTTTCCTCCTCGTACTCTGCTATCGTTCTTTCAAACAGGCCAAATATCTCTTCAGCAGCCTCGGTGAGTCGCTGCGTCACTAAACATCTCAGCATTTGGACTTTAGACATCTTCACTGAATCACAGACACGTTTCCTCCAGATAAACTCCGTTAAACTCGGACTAGCGCTGTGTTGCTAACTTCGGTCTGTTTCCAGCTAGCATGCTAAGCTAACTCCAATAGCTTAGCATGCTACCGGGAGATGATTGAGAGGAAACAAGATCCAGGAAAAAGGTGAGCAGCTGAAAGTCCGTCAGAGGTTTATCCAGACGTCGAGAGACTCTGGTGGATCAGGACTGATGGAGATACCTGATCAACGTAACAACTCCTTCACCAGGTGTAGAAGATAGACGCTATTTTGCTAAAAGTCAGCCACAGTGGAGAACACTTCCGGGTCTCTTCCTGTCAAAATAAAATATTCGTGTTTTTGAGACGTCTTTTACATGTCGATCACAACATCCATCCATCGTCAAACCGCTTATCCTGCACACAGGGTCGCGCCGGGGGGGGCATAAAACGTGACTGATTCGGGAAATTGTTCATGGGTGTGGAGCGCGATTCGAAATAAAACGAGTCCCCCGGCTACATTTTGTGTACTTTGGACTTATTTACTACTTTCAATACTTCAATACTTATTACGCGTTTGTTTACAAACTATTCGAGCTTCTTTTTTCTGTGATGAAACCAGCAGGAAAGGTGGTAACATGTTAATAAGGTATGCACGTATGAGTTATTAATAACTAGAGGAATATACTGTAAATAAATCTTACACAGAGTATCCTTTGTTCTAATATCTTTCTTCTTATTTATGGTATTTTAAAAGGTGAAGTGTCTGTTGTCTTCATGGGAGCTTGGATAGAAGCAGGTAAATACTCTCAAAAAAAAAGAAACCGCCTGATGCCCAGCACTGTGGAAAAGTTTGTATTTTTAAATAAAAATGAATAATAATAATAATAATAATAATAAAACAAAGAATGAAATGTTTCACGTGTTACATGTTGTCCCTAGTAACATAAGCACAGTCACGAACCAAGTAAAATAGGTAGAGTCACAAACCAAGTCTATACGTATTTGGCGAGAGGGTTACACAGAAATCGCAAGGTTGACATTTCGATCCTTTGATGGTATTTTTTTTTAAATTTTCACATCACAACCATCTCACCAATTTGTTTCCACTTTCCCTTTTGACCCCACCATTGTATCATACAAACAGACACCAAAAATGGCCTCCTGTATCTGTTCTTGTGATGACTCTGTTGTCCCTGCAGTCGATGTGCAGAGGGGAGTCCTGGCTATCCAATATTAATAACAATTTCTCTAGAGTCCTCCACCACCATTTCCCCACTGTTCAGTTTTGTCAAAAATGATCGGTCAACTTTTTCATAATGTGTTTCTACTTAAATTTAGTTAAATTTAGAGGAACGATACCTAGATATAACAACAAGGGAACACCATAACTCACCTACAAACCAACAAACACATGGTCAGGGTATGGGAGAATGGTGTGCATGCAGGCGTGTGCGTGCCCAAGCCTTTTTGAGATGAAAAACACGAAGGAGGGCAAATTAAATAACAATTGTATCTGTCTACATGTGTGTAAGTGGGCTTCAATTGGTTTTCAGGAAAAGGACAAATAAACAAAATACAAATAAACAAGTAACAATAACAATAATAATTCTTTTTTTTATAGGATGGCTGTTGTCCTGTTTTCACAAGTAAATGATCACCTTCTGTCTTGATCTGTTCAGTTTGTCAATAGTTTGACAATAAATGTACTATAAACACTTGCTATTGAAGATGTTTATCATGAAGAGAGAGGAAGAAAAATGATCATTAGTGATCTGATGTTTCCGATTGTCTTCATGAAGCTCAGCTGATGAATGACTAAAATGAAACAAAACTACTTCTGCAGGTTAACGTCAGAATTTGGTTTTGAGAAGTTTCATTTTAGTCTGAAAGCTGATCTTGAACGTTCTTTTCAATAATTAAACATCTATTTGAAAGTTAACTTAAGGGAAACTAAAACTGTGTATAAAAAATGTGAGAGTGAAATAAAAAATACTACACAGGGTCAAATATTATTCAATATCATAGATTATCATTAAATGATTCGATTATACCAAATATGGGAATGAATACATTAATCTTCAAAAAAGCTGACCCGGGGTGGACCCTGAACACAAAAGTTCACACATCGCTGGGTTACAGTGTATATAAAATATACAGTGTGTGTGTAATAGCAACATAAGTATTAATAGCAGCAGCAAAGTACAGTTTATATGCACAATATATATATACAGTACAATTAAATAAAATACATATAAATATTATATATTAACATATTAAATGAAAGTGAAAGTGGACCATCATCGTCTTTGGCAGGTTGAATTTCTTCAGCTGCCTCAGGAAGAACAACCTCTGCTGAGCCTTCTTGGTGATGGAGCTGATGTTCAGCTCCCACTTGAGGTCCTGGGTGATGATGGAGTCCAGGAAACGTAAGGAATCCACAATAGTGACGGGGGAGTCACACAGGGTGATGGGGGAGGGTGGGGCTCTGTTCCGCCGGAAATCCACAACCATCTCCACTGTCTTTAGAGCGTTGAGCTCCAGGTTGTTCTGACTGCACCACGACACCAGATGGTCGGACTCCCACCTGTAGGCGGACTCATCACCACCAGAGATCAGTCCAATGAGGGTGGTGTCATCCGCAAACTTCAGGAGCTTGACGGACTGGTGACTGGAGGTGCAGCTGTTGGTGTACAGGGAGAAGAGCAGAGGGGAAAGAACGCAGCTTTGGGGGGAACCGGTGCTGATGGTCCGAGAGGCTGAGACATGTTTCCCCAGCTTCACGTGCTGCTTCCTGTCAGACAGGAAGTCTGTGATCCACCTGCAGGTGGAGTCGGGCACGTGCAGCTGGGAGAGTTTGTCCTGCAGCAGAGACGGGATGATGGTGTTGAAAGCAGAGCTGAAGTCCACAAACAGGATCCTGGCATAGGTTCCTGGGGAGTCCAGATGCTGGAGGATGTAGTGGAGGGCCATGTTGAGAGCATCGTCCACAGGCCTGTTAGCTCTGTAGGCGAACTGCAGGGGGTCCAGGAGGGGGTCGGTGAGGGACTTCAGGTGGGTCAGGACTAGCCGTTTAAAAGACTTCATGACTACAGAGGTCAGGGCGACGGGCCTGTAGTCATTGAGTCCTGTGATCCTGGGCTTCTTGGGAACAGGGATGAGGCCTTGAAGCAGGCTGGTACGTGGCATTACATTACATTACATTACATGTCATTTAGCTGACGCTTTTATCCAAAGCGACGTACAATAAGTGCATTCAACCATAGGGTACAAACTCAGGAGAACAAGAAACAAGAAAGTGCAATTTCCTCAAATAAGCCAATTTACAATTTGCTATAGATGAGTGACGTTACAAGTACAATTTAAGTGCTACAATTTGTTAGTCTTTAGTCGAGGTAGAGTCTGAAGAGGTGTGTCTTTAGTTTGCGGCGGAAGATGTGAAGGCTCTCTGCGGTCCTGATGTCTTCAGAGAGCTCGTTCCACCATTTCGGCGCAAGGACAGCGAAGAGTCGAGACCTAGTCGAGTGTTTTGCTCTCAGTGAGGGAGGGACGAGTAGTTTTGCAGATGCAGAGCGGAGAGTATGGGTTGGGATGTAGGGTTTGACCATGTCCTGGATGTAAGCTGGACCCGATCCATTCACAGCATGGTACGTGAGCACCAGTGTTTTGAACTGGATGCGGGCGGCCACCGGTAGCCAGTGAAGAGAGCGGAGGAGTGGAGTAGTGTGGGAGAATTTTGGAAGGTTGAAGACCAGTCGAGCTGCTGCATTCTGAATGAGCTGCAGAGGTCGAATGGCGGTGGCAGGGAGACCTGCCAGGAGGGAGTTGCAGTAGTCCAGGCGGGAGATGACAAGAGCCTGAATCAGTACCTGCGCTGCCTTCTGAGTGAGAAGGGGACGTATTCTCCTGATGTTGTAGAGCGTGTATCTACAGGATTGCGTTGTCGCGGTGATGTTGGGAGTCAGGGAGAGTTGGCTGTTGAGTGTGACGCCGAGGTTCTTAGCAGTCGAAGTGGGCGTTAGTACGGAGTTCCCAAAGTTGACTGTCAGGTCCTGGGTAAGCGAATCTTTTCCGGGAAAGAGAAGTAGTTCAGTCTTGTCGGGGTTGATTTTCAGATGGTGGGCGGACATCCACTGAGAGATGTCAGTTAGACAGGCAGAGATCCGAGCCGCCACCTGGGTGTCCGAGTGAGGGAAGGAGAGAATTAGTTGGGTGTCATCGGCATAGCTGTGGTAAGAGAAGCCATGCGAGCGAATGACAGCGCCAAGAGAGTTGGTGTAAAGCGAAAACAGGAGGGGACCCAGCACGGAACCCTGAGGAACTCCAGTAGTAAGAGGACACGGTTCCGACACAGATCCTCGCCAGGTTACCCGGTAGGTGCGGCCATCGAGGTAGGACGAGAGAAGGGAGAGAGCAGAGCCTGTGACACCAAGTTCCTGAAGGGAGGAAATAAGGATCTGGTGGTTGACCGTGTCAAATGCAGCAGAGAGGTCCAGAAGGATGAGGACAGAGGAGAGAGAGGCGGCTCTAGCAGTGTGGAGTTGCTCAGAGACAGCAAGGAGAGCAGTCTCTGTGGAGTGGCCTGCCTTGAAACCTGACTGGTGGGGGTCAAGGAGGTTGTTACAGTGGAGATAAGAGGAGAGTTGATTAAAGATAGCACGTTCAAGGGTTTTGGACAAAAAGGGAAGAAGAGAGACCGGTCTGTAGTTGTTTTCTTCAGAAGGGTTGAGGGTGGGTTTCTTCAGGAGAGGGTTGACTCTTGCCTCCTTCAGAGAATTGGGAAAACAGCCAGATGACAGAGCGTTGTTGATGAGAAAGGTAAGGAACGGAAGAAGGTCAGGTGCGATAGATTGTAGAAGATGTGATGGAATGGGGTCAAGAGGGCAGGTGGTCGGACGGGCAGAGGTTACTAGGGTAAGAATTTGGTTAGGAGAGAGGGCGGTGAAAGAGGGAAGTGAGGGCGAAAGAGGTGAGGTCGGTCGTCATTATTAACTGCTCAAGACAACCCGTTTGAAGGCTTAATGCTAATGAGCTAGCTTAATTTATTTTAACGGCCAAAATCATAAATAAGCCTGACAGAGCTTTACTGTCTGTACACATGAGACCATTTGACCCAAAGCCAAAACCCTCACATCGGCACAAGAAAAAAAAAACAAGAGGGTCGCATCAATGAGACCATGAATCCCTGGAAGGAGGTCCCTCACAGTTATGTAATCGTGAACTTAAAAAGTAGCTGTGAATATCTATCCATCATTATAGTTCTGCAAATGGGATTTAAAACCAGGCAAAAAGGGATTCTCGTCTGAGTTTTAATGTGAACTTTTAGATGTCGACATTGAGTGAAAAA